CACATGCAAACATAGTTTATCAAACACTGAAGAGTGTGGTGGGGTCGGTTCGGCCTTTCCGTGAACATTTCATTCTAAATTAACAGTTCGAAAATAAATGGAGATTAGTCCCCTTCAATACTTTCTGTCTGCAAGAATTTATTACATGTGCACTTATAAAACGATACTATAAACTATTTAGTATAATAATACATACTCGTATATGACATGTGACATGCTTCAGTTTCAACAATTTTACGTGAAAACTTTACTACATGTGATTAGCTGTAGAACTGTAGCTCTTCGAAAAAAATTATGAATAGGAGCAACCACTGGATGAATTCAAGGTTTAATACTTTTTGTAGGAATTATAACGACGTTGGAAGTTCTTTGCACTCTAATTTTATCACAGTGAACCATTCCACTTTTCTATCTTTTCTTGTTGATGTTTTGTACATAAACGTTCTTTACGAGCGAAACTGTTGAAAGTTGGTGTACTAAAAAAATCGAACGCCCATGTAATCAAGATCAATCTATCCAAACAAAATCTTAATTTGACGACGATGGTGTCGCTTGGCTTTTTCTATTAACACCACTCATTACGATCAAGGGGAGAGAGGTCCCGAATCACCGATTTTAATGTAGTTGGAGATCAAGCACGTCAGATGCAACTGATGCTAATCTAAAGGACGAACCCAAATGTGCTCGTCCGTAAAGTCTCAGTGGACCCGACGTCAAATGGGACAATTATTCCTGGTACGAAGGTTTAACAAAGTTCAGACTTTAAGACTTTCTAGGCAGTAAAGCACCATGCCTTAAAGAAATTAAAAGATTGAGGAGCCAGCTACGATGAGGTAGTAATTTTGACCCCTGATCAAGCAACACCAAAGTCTGTAAATAAACCAGTCAAAATTTTAAAACACCAAAAATATTGAACTATTAAACTAAACATCATTTGTGTTTCTTAATCTGTTTGTTGTTTAACGTCCCTTTGATAATTTTTCGCTCATATTAAACGAGAAGCCATAGTTGCCGTTGGAAGGATGCAGAGTTTGGCCTGTAATCGTTTTGAGCATTTACTGCGACATGGGACCTACGTTTGCAGGGGCGGATCCAGCAATTTTTGAAAGGGGGGGGTTCCAGGGTTGTTCCCCTCTTACCCCCCCCCCCCCCCAATACATACTCTCAAGCAAAGATTCACAGACTTGTATGGAAATATCTAAGGTTGTGCTAAATACTATGTTTGTTTTATGGCCTTTTTTTTTTTAAAAGCGTACCCCCAGTACGAACAAAACAACAAATACAAAATAAGCAAAAGAAACCCCCCCCCAAAAAAAACAAAAAAAAAACCACACGTTTCAAAAACTACGGAAGCCTTAAAATTGAATGGATTTGTATCATTTCCGAAGAGTATAAAGAATTTTCTTTAAGAATTTGAAAAACTTTTTTGGGGTGGGATGCGGGTAGGCTTTAAAACAGAGTTACATGTTAGTTCCTTCAATGGATCTAGATATGATAAAAACGGTACAAGTATAGCCAACACAGCCAAAGATCGCGGGAATCCAATATCATATTAAACTTCGCATGCTACATACAAGATCTAGATATATAAATATAAGTAGAATATTTTCTACCATTCTCTCATAAAAAAGTATAATAGAGAAGGTGACTGGAGGACACTTAATGTGTGAGAATCTCTGTATTCAATAAATAAGTGGGACGTACAAATACAAATGTATATAACCTCAGAAAACGTTTTATCCCCTCTCACTCTCCATAAAATAAAGGGGGGTTCCAACCCCCGGAACCCCCCCTCTGGTTTGTAGGTCTCATCCCAAGGACCGCTCTCTACGTCCCGCAGTGGGATTGGAACCCGCGACCTAAGAATCAACTACTAACTCCGCGGCGCAAGAGTAAATAACTACTGATGACAATAAGTCGTAACTTCTGAAGTGGCGACATGAAAAAAAAATTCTCCTTATATTATTTCTGTAATAAGTTATAAGATTCTCCTGCTTTTTTTGCTATTAGTTGTATGTGCACATATAGCCAACTGAAAGATTTTGAGAGAAAAAAAAAAGGTTGTCATCACTTTTATACTTTAGGCGTCTGATATTTTCAGAGCGTGGTAAGACTTGTTCTTCAAAGGATAAAAGTTACAAGATATAATTATTCGTAATCTCAATGAAAAAAATTGAATAATACAATTATTCAAATCTTATAGTAGGAAAAAAGTACGTACGTGTATATAATTGTAACATAAATTTAACATCCGAACATAATGTGCTAAGTTTCAAGCGGTGTCAAAGAAAATTTTGATTATTTCATGTTGTGTGTAGTAACTGCAGTTTTAACACAAATAATTATGATTCTTTGTAATATTTTAAAGGGAAACTGCATTTGATTGTATTTTTATGACAGTTTATATCACTGTTCATACTTGGTACATAAAGGTTACGTGTAGTTGAACAAATCAAGACAAATTCTCCTGTGCTTGCTAACCTTTCAGGAAATTGATTTTTGTTGAATTTTACGACCCTCTCTGTCTTTTCAGTTTATTTAAATAAACTGGAAAGACACTCAACAGATTTAGACATTACTCTGGTATCCGAGATCTATTGCCTTAATGAGGTACCGTGCTTAGTACGTAGAAGAGTTATGTCGATAGTTTTAATTAGCGCTAACGCCTGTTATCAATGATAACTGGCTTAATATGTAAACAGATACCATACACTATCAATTAATAAACTGAATAACAGAATTAAAGTCCTTCCCCGAATATTTCCTAAAACTCAGTAATTCATAGGTCAAGTTATATTCTGTTCAGCATTTTAACTATTTTCCGGATATGAGAGTTTCCTTCTCACAAATACCTAACCTGAATATTTGCAAAAATTATAGATTAATTCTCTTCAAATAAATGTATGTGAAAAGTTTCATCGCTGTTCTAGGAAGTTGAAATATCAGAACCCATTATTGCGCGTATGGTATAAAGGTAAACAGTAGTAAGAAATCATGTTCATTTTTTTTAATCGACGTAAAATCCAATATTTCGCATTTATTAATTAACTTTTTACAAGAACGCACCAATTAAAGGCTTTCCAGTCAAATTAAAATGATTTTTTTCATAATTTCTGATGACTCTGGATTAATTTTGTCGCAATTTTTATACGAATAAACATTTTGTTCAGCTTAGCTTTAGTGTACCCATAGGGAATTAACACCAATTGTTTTCTTGGAATCGAAACGAAAAACTGATCACGGTCGTCATTTTTATAATTAATTGTCTGTTTAATGCGAGATCTAACCCTTTAGAAAAGAGATACTCTTGAGCGTAAATATTGACATAATGCAATCTATTCACACTGTACTTGTTCGAACACTCTCCTCAGGGAATACTACGGTGCCCTTATTCTGCTAAAGGACGCAAACTGACATTCTCAGTCATTTGTAACCTGATATACCATGGTACCGAGAAGTGTTCGAAATGCATTCTGTTAATTATGTAAGTGGGACGGGAAAACACGGTGGTACAAAGAAAAAGCATCACTGGTAAAATCACTAGATTTCTTTATGTGACAAAGATGAAGATGACGAACACTAATAGATCTTAGGTATCTACAAACAATACAAACTTGTAAAAATGTCATAAAATACCCTCGAAATATTCAGAGGTTGAATCAGATGCCCAGAGGAGTGAACACCCCCTGGTGAGTGTTCACATCCGCTGTGGGCCCCGTTTATTGACTATGAAGATTTAATTAACATTCTGTAGTCAAATATACATGTATTAGAAATACAAAGGTCTTACAATGTGTATGAAACAAGTCAGCCAATATGTGACCAAATGATTGGTTAATTTTGTTACATGTAACAATGTCATTATGTGATCATAAAATTAACGAGTTGCTGTTTTTAAATGAAGTTGTCGTAATCTCTGTATAACATAAACTTATAAGAACCTTGTACTGGGTCAGAAAAAAAAAATCTTAAAAAGAGAGCTTTCTTCCATTCGATAGGTTCAACATTTGTTAATATCATGTTCCATGGAGTAGCTTTGGACCACACCATGGGTTCAAAATTCTACAGAGGAATACACAAGGAAAATCTTTAATTTATAAATCTTTTCAAGAACAACAAAGCCATTATTAGTCATAATTATATATCCTTATGTACTTTTAAATGTACATAGAAATAGTGTTTTCCCCAGAAACAGTAAAGCCATGGTTAGACAAATAGAAGGAAGAAACTACAGCTGATAGTAAAGATTCAAATTTGTTCAATCATGACAACCCAACCCCTGGGAGCTACAATGGACATTCACAGTTTAATATGGAAATGCATGAGAAAATCTTTAAAGAGTCTTTTCCTCAACAACAGCAAATTTATATTACTTATATTTATAAGGAAGCATAGATTGAAGTTTGTTCAAATCCTGACCCCTTGGGGTAAGATTGGGTCGTAAACAGTGATCCAAGTTTTAAATGAAAATATGTGGGATAAAAAATGTGTTGATGAAGAACAGAATGCATAGCCACAGTTACTCAGGTGAGTGCTTTGGCCCATGAGCCTATTGTATTGTATACACGTACAATTAAAAAGAAATGCCAAGGAAGGATAATTTTTAATATTTATTGCCACTTAGACATTACATTAACTGTAAAATTGATTAGCCTTGAAAACTAGAAGGCACAGACAGAAAATTGTTCAAGAAATTACAAGAGAGGGTTGTTTGTAACATTCATGAAAATATATCATCTATAAATCAATAACTGATAGCTTAACTCATTTTAGCAAAAATTAATTGCAATATTGATTTTTAAATACATGTACAATAGTTTATAACTGTACAAAATAGATATTAAATAATGTAAAGGCTGTTCCATGAAGTTATAGCACTCTTAAATATTTGTTAATGCTGAATTATATAATTATAAGCTAAAGGAAAATATTTGTATCAATTGTATGCATCCACACTATGCTAATACCTTTCAGCCTTTTTTGGAACATACTACATATAATAAAAAAAATGCATTTATAAAAATATTTTCAATGATTATGTAAAAGTCTTTGAGGGTTAAGAAATAGCTCTTCCTTTACCTACATTTTGAGCTCAGTTAAAAATACACATTTTTAACCTTGGCAATACATGAACCTAGATGGTACATACATCAAGTGTAAATATATAAATTGTTAAATAAACCAAATCAGATTCTACAGGAACTGATTTAGTTGTCAAATGGTCTGAACAATAACACATTCAGAAAACAATAACAAATAAATTCACTGTTATAACAATACAACAACTTTCAACAATATGACATGAAGGCATTCAACAAGATTGGATAAATGGCACTGATATTTGAAGAGTTATCTGTATATGGTTGTGGGAAAACTATTCCTGTTTTAAAAGAATGGCAGGCAAAAGTTTGTTTATATTGTCTATGATTTCCCACAGACTAATTTAATTTAATTGCTTCTTCATAAATGGTAATGTCCCAGACAGAGGAATGTACTAGTATATGACTGCTGCGGAACTTTGTGATCCGCAGTCAAACAGATAAATATCCTAACACTTTACTGGGGGAGGGGGGGGGGATAATATCATTATACAAGAATAGTTCATATTACAGAATAATAATCATAAAGTAACAAATTATTTTCTTTTAAATAACAACCTTACAAAAATAATGTACAAATATACATACATGTAAATATATAATATCATGGTCATGTACATAAAAAATCTTCATTGCATGCTTTTTAGTTTTAAATAATCTTTTTACAGATCAATTTAAATTCTTTTCCTTCATAAATACAACATATTCCTCCTTTTTAAATTATTTTGATTTTTGAAGAAAATACGGTAATTTTTGGAAAGTTTTTAACTCAAATTCAGACAGCTCAAAACAGTAGAGAAATTATAATGTTTGACACACACATTCAGAGTTGATTTAAAAACAAAACAATTTTTAATAAATCAAATTCACTTTTTACTGTTAATCCTATTCATAAATTACTCCAATAGAGAACTACATCAGGACTAGTAGTGTAAAATGTAAAATGTATACAACAAAAGTAATAAAATACAAAAATGATAAAAATGAACGGTAGAAATTGATTGCGTATTTTGGTTATGGGTTCTTCAAAATAATGTACATATAAAAATAAAATTGACAGAAGTCAGCATTCATTGTGATATTTATAGTATGATGAATGCAAGCTTAAATGTTAGCTTTAATCTTGTGATACATGACTTTAACATTTGAACACTGTGGTTTCTTGATGATTACATGTAATATCAAGTTTATGATATAGAACTGTATTGTTCATGAAGATTTGTTTTTACATTTTCTATGTTAAGTTTGTTCCATCTGTTGTATAGTTTTGACTCCAAGTGATATATACATGTATGTAACTTGTACGCATTTGAAAAGAAAATGTATATAGAGATGGTTAAAAATAACTTGTAATAAAGAAATTGAAACATTGATATGCAAAAAAAAAATTAAATCTCTTTTCCCTACACCCCATGAGTTTGAGGGTCACAACATGTGTATAAGCTTTTTACATTTTTTTTCAGATACAGAGGTTACTGAATTTTTTATTTCTAACTAACTTAGCTATTTGTTGTTATTGTCAAATTTTTAAAGACTCTTTTACAAAGCTTAATTCAGAGAGGTATAATCATTCTATTCTGAAAAGATTGTCAAAAATTTCTATACATAGATATGCGTATTGAAAGATCAAGATGAGTAAAATATGAGAATTTGAGGAGGATGAGATAGAAAACACTTAAATGAGTCTTAACTTGGAAAATATAAACAGAATGAAAAGAAATAAAGCTCAATGCCAATAACATGATAAAAAGTAACAACTGATATGCACAATAAAAACGGCACTTGAAATGTACTAAAAAGAAAAGACTAAAAAAAAGTACTATACTTGTCTTGGTAAATGTATTTGGGAGGTCAAGTATTAGCTGGATTTGAACAAATAATACAAAAATAATCTTGCAAAAAACTTTGGAATCATCATTGTTCATGGGGGACCAATGTTCATGGATTTCATGGGTCATCCTTGCTCGTGGATTCAATTCTTAATGAACATAACTTTGTCATTGTATGGGTTCATTGACTAATCTGAATATCTGAATTACTCACAAACTTTCATGAAACAGTCAAAATTTGGTTGCCCAAAAACATTGATCCCAATGAATTAAAATGATTCCACAATAGACTGTTCAACATCAAATTCGCAAAACCTAACAGGATACAGTGTTTGAACATTTCAGGAATGTTTACACAAACATTACTGTTAAAAGAGAAATAACTCTAAGGAAAAATTAATTTGAAAAAATTCCCTAATCAAGAAACTGTATCTTGGGAATTTTCAGCATTATTTTCAGCATTACTTTCAGCATTATTTTCAGTATTACTTTCAGCATTATTTTCAGCATTACTTTCACTTTTCAGCTCGTAGGAGACCAAGCTTGGCCGATTATCGTCCACTTTTGGTTTGAGTTTGAATGCTCTCATCATGGCAGCAAGTCCTCGGAACTTTCTAAATTTAACTTTACCGCCACCATGGCGACGTTTCTTTAATCTCCCCGCGTACACATCTTTGTCATGAGGCACGCGTCTACCAAACTTCCACAACAGGACCCCGAAGGTCACAAATGCCGCAACTGCAGGAATAAAAGCAATGAGTTTGATTGCGATATGATACCCATTATAGCGAGCATTCATCACCGTGTCCCCAGCTAGGTAGGTGGCGTTGGTGTTGGGGTTAATGGTTACGGATCTATAACTGTAGGACAGCTGGGTCTCATTGAAGGTCTTTAAGCTGTACTCGTCTGTCACACTGTGGATCTTACCATCAGAATCCACGTACTGACCATAGTCAAACGGATAATAAAAGATCTGGTTCTTCCACATGTTCAGATCCAAGATCATGACTAGAAATAGGATTCCATAGTTAAACCACTTTCCTACAATTGCATGAAAACACAGATTGTTAATGCATGTCCATTCATCTTTATTCTTGGAGAATTCAAAATAATTTAATTTAACAATTAAAGAATACATGTATATTTTAATTAATTGTTACAGTAATTTTTTTTATTTCTCAATAAATTGTACATACAGGTCACAGATATTTTTATACAACTAGAAATATGTCTATAGGTCATGGGTTGCCTGTCCAAGGTTCATAATTAATGCAATGTGATGCATCTCAATGCAACAAGAAAGAATCTACAGCTTGCTTTCTTCTTGAAGAATAGTAAGGTCAAGGTCACAAAGAAGGTAAGGTCAGAAAATTATGACACAATTGGATACCCCTTTCTAAATTGTATTTAAGGAATAACTGTCTAATTTTTTGGTTTCATGATGTGACCAATCGATTGGCTTGCGTGATAATTTGCTTAAACGCCAAAGGCATTTATGCATAAAATTATCAAGCAAGCCAATATGATTGATCATCATCACGAAACAAAAAAATCTGACAGTTATTCCTTACATTTACAGTCTCTTGATTCCACCAATCCACATGCTACAAGCCCCAACCTCTGTCTCTATTTTTTCCCGCCCCGCACATAATTTTTTTTTTAACCATGCCTATCAATGAACCAATAAATTTATGTAGAAATAAAGTATTTTACACTTTGTAATTTTATCTTGGACAAAGACATTGGAAATGTAAATATTAGTGTATGAAGTTGGATAAAAATATCATGCTATGATATCTTTTAACTGGTAAAGTAAAAGGTCCTGTGATATGACCACGCTTTATTACCTGTGATATGGACCTGCCACACCTCCCTTTTCAGACATTTAGGAATGTCGAATTTGATGTGAGCAGTATTAATACCAGGAAGTTTTATATCTATTGCACTCACAAAATGGGGGAAATCCCAGTCCTGAAACAGAGAGAGAATTATGTAATAATTAATTTATCTTTTTAGAATTCCAGACCACCTGGAACCTGTGAAAGCATTTTAAAATCAAACTCTCCATCAAATGTTATTAGTACTACTAGTGTAAATGAAACCCTGGCTTAAAGAAAACATTTTATTTAGAACACGATAATTCTTTAAATTTCTTTCTAATTTTTGCCAAATTAAAAAAAATTCTCTTGAATGAAAGATAAAATTTCAATTTATCCCAATTTACTCAAACTGTTTTGGCAAATCCTCTGCCAAAACAGGCACTAATGCATATAGTTGTTAAAACAAACAAATTAATGCACTCAGAATAAGTTATTAACTGGAACCAACTTTTCCCTGTGTAAATTTGTAACCACAATATGTTTAATAAATCAAGCTACTATCCCAAATGCCTGGGAATTTTCTCATTAAACCAAAATTATATTACACCAACTTCCATGCATACCATTTATTGGAAGCTCAAATTACATCAGATTTTTCCAATATGTATACAGTATTACTCCAGAGTCATATTCTGTGGCGTATGTATCTCTTACATGTACATAAGATTATATGGAAATGAAATTTTGCTAGTTTAAGCAAGATGACTGCATGCAGATTGACATAAGCCAATTTTTGTCCCTTTGGCTACAGACATATTGGTATGCTGGTATGTCAATACTGTCTAGCACACATAATCAAATATATCAATTTAGTGGCTTTCTTACATCATTCCTGTAGCACGCATCAAATAGGGTGAAAATATCGAGAACTTTGAGCAACCCAATACATGTATTTATCATTTTTTAGGTGAATAGTTTTAGTACTTAGATATATATGTATAATTGATAAGAGTATACTTCAAACTTATTGATAAGGATCTGTTGTAAGGCAGATAACTTAAAAATCTTCTGTCTCTTAAATTATCCAAAAAGAAGAGGTGCAGACCAGTCAAGATTTGCACTACCATAGATATTTTCACGGTGAAAAATCTCACTTCTGATACACATGCATTTCACAGTTAAAAATTTGCTTTCAAAATATACAAGAGGCCCAAGGGCCTTGAATCGCTCTTCTGATAAATTGTACAATCTATCACTTCTATTAGAAGCCTCCAACTCTATTAGTATCATAAGACCCAAAATGGATCAACTTACAAAGTTTGATAATATTTAGCCAGTTAAGACTGAAGATGTTATAATATAATTATAAAATACCTAAGTAGGTCACAGTGACCTACCTTTTGATTGAAATTTTCTGAGGACTCAAGATACATTAATTGACAAAGACTGATGATTCTGATTAAATAAGTACCTGAGATATTCAAAGGTAGGTCACCATGACCTACTTTTTGGTCAACATTCTCTGAAAACCCAAGATGCATCAACTGACAAAGTTTGATGATTCTAAGTCAATTAGTACCAGAGATAATTAAATATAGCCATCAAATGTCAAAAGTAGGTCACGGTGACCTACTTTTTGGTCGACGTTATCCAAAAACCCAAGATGCCTAAACTGACAAAATTTGATGATTCTAAGCTAATAAGTACCTGAGATGTTCAAAAGTAGGTCACCGTGACCTACTTCTTGTTGGACATTCAATGAAACCCTAAGATGCCTCAACTGACAAAGTTTGATGATTCCGAGCCAATAAGTACCAGATGTCACATAATTAAATATAGCCATAAAATGTCAAAAGTAGGTCACAGTGACCTATTTTTTGGTCGACGTTCTCCAAAAACCCAAGGTGCCTAAACTGACAAAGTTAGATGATTCTAAGCTAATACTTACCTGAGATATTCAAAAGTAGGTCACCGTGACCTACTTTTTATTCAACATTCTCCGAAAACCCAAGTTGCCTCAACTGATAAAGTTTGATGATTCTTAGCCAATAAGTGCCTGTGGATACTTAAATATAGCCATAAAATGTCAAAAGTAGGTCACTGTGACCTACTTTTTGGTCGACAATCTCCAAAAACCCAAGATACATCAACTGACAAAGTTTGATGATTTTAGGTCAATAAGTACCCGAGATACTTAATTATAGCCACAAAATGTCAAAAGTAGGTCACCATGACCTACTTTTTTGTTGTCACTCTCTCAAAACCCAAGATGCATTAACTCACAAAGTTTGATGATTCTAAGCCTATGAGTACCGGAGATACTTAAATAAAGCCATAAAATGTCAAAAGTAGGTCACCATAACCTACTTTTTGGTCATCACTCTCCGAAAACCAAATATGCATCGACTCACAAAGTTTGATGATTCTAAGCCAATAAATACCTAAGATACTTAAATATAGCCATAAAATGTTGAAAGTAGGTCATCGTGACCTACATTTTGGTCAACATTTTTCAAAGACCCAAGATGCATCTACTGACCAAGTTTGATGATCGTAGGTCTGAAGGTAATCAAAATATGCATTTTAAACAATTTGAAAACAAATGTTGGCAAAATTCAAAAAGTAGGTCACAGTGACCTACTTTTTCATAAATATGTTTTAAGGTCCCAAGATGCACCAAAGTACAAGATTTGATGATTCTAAACCTCCCAGTGTCTGAAATAATGGGATTTAATGTTTTTAAAAAGATAAGTCATAAAGTTCAAAAAGTAGGTCACGATGTCCTAATTTTAAGTTGACATTGTTCGAGGACCCAAGATGCATCAACTGACAAAGTTTGATGAATATAGGCTTTAAAGTGTCCAAAATATGCCTTCAAATCAATTTGAAAACAAATCCCCGCAAAATTTGAAAAGTAGGTCACCATGACCTACTTTTTAGTTAACATGATGTGAAGTCGTAAGATGCATCAACTTACAAGATTTGATGATCCTAGTCCTTATAGTAAGCAAAATATACACATTTTTATTACTTGTAAATTTAGGTCAACTTTGAAGTGACCTTGAGACCACGCCCTTTGCCCCAGGGTAATTCCCCATGCAAATTTTAATCTTTGACATATCCTGATCCTTGTATGTAAGTTTGGTGAAAATCTGCCTGGTGGTTATGGAGAAGAAGATTTTTTAGCAACCAGTACTTTTGGTTTTGTTTTCCTGATTATCTCCCCTTGTTTAAGGGTCCCAACCCTTATTTTAGTATAAATGGTAGCCCTTGGGCCAAGGATACCCTGTGACAAATTTGGTAATGATTGGCCAAGGGGTTCTTGAGTTATGGCCCATACTCTAAAAAGTTTACGCACACCGCACAAAGAGCCATAGCATTAGCTTTTTGAGCCTTTGGCTCAGAAGAGCTAACAATAGATAAATTACAGTATTTTATTTACTTTTAAAAATGCAATAATTAAAATGCTACTCTACCTGTAGAACAATGAAAATATCCATCACAAGAATGAAAGAAGCAAGCATGGCCCTGGACACCTCATTACTGTGGAGAAAGTCGCGGTTCAGTTTGTCCCACTGTATGTAGTCTGTGGCGATCACCAGCACCACGATAAAGGAGGCCAGCGTGGTGATGGTCCAGAACAGGATGATGCGGCGGTAACCTGTATTCCACCACCGGCGTGCACCTACGGCCCATTTGGGGTACAATTTTTCCTGGAGCATCATGTCTGTCACCTATAAATACCGTAAATCTGGAAATTTTTGCTGTAAAATTTTTTTTAGCAAATTTGCGACTTCATTGCATTCGCAAAAATATTTTTCTTAAATATAAATTACCAATAAGAAAATGTAAACAAAGCAGTGGTCATTCGCAAAATTTTGAAACGTAAAAATTAATCAACAGCATTTTGACCCGAATTCGCAAAATAAAATCGACGTAAAAATTTCCAGATTTACGGTAGGTATATTGCCAATTTAAACTAAATCTTAGCAATGTTAAAGTTCTAATACCAGTTTATTTAACCCATTCAGAAATGTAATGCTTATTCTCCATGTAACTTCAATAGATATATCTGACTAGATCAGTAGATGACTGTTATAATATGTTTTCTAGGAAAGAAACGGATCATCCATCCTTAACGCACAGTTTACGCTTAAGATGAACAATGGTACTATATACTCATAGCACTTGGTTACCAACATTAGAATTTTATTATCTTGGAGTGAATGGGTCTGAAATCTGAAGATTTTAGATATTGATTGTAGAATTTAGAAAAAATATGTGGTTTATACTTCCAGTATGATAATAATAATACAGATTTTACAGAGATGTAATTACCATCCAGGCGGTAAAGAAGTCACCACACCAGGTGCCAGTGGCAGCCATCTTCATGAAGATGGAGTTAGAGACCCCCATAAGGTCGGAGATTCTGTAATCCTCCGTGTCGCTACCTCCGATCATCAGGAAGGCGTTGTAGATCCAGGAGAAGATGAAGACGCTGATCAGTGTCGTCAGGAACATGACCATGAAGGAGCCCATGTCGTCCTCAAACATCCTCAGGCGACAGAGGCGGTCTACAATAGCCATGGTAGATTATAGTACTGGGTAAAAGTGGAGATTGTTAGTTTCAGATATGAAATCTGTTCATGTACATTATCATTTCCTTTGGGCATTGAATAAACTATTGTTATATAAAAACTTGAATGTAATTTAAACATTTCATTCAGCCCAATAATAATCACTTGGAACTTTATGATTTTTTAAAAAAATCTTCTTTTTAAATGGTCATGATGGTTTATTTATCATGCAAGTTATTAGCAAAAATAATATGACAAAAGTACAATAAAATCAGGTTCAAGGTGTTTTCATTTTAAATGGCCATAGTGAATTAGTGAGTTTTCATCCTTCCTTTCTTAAACAGCTAATATCTAAAACTTAATTTCTAGTAAAAAAAATTGAATTAAATTGGTCTCCACGTGATGTTAACGTAAAAATAATTTTATTGACAATTAATTCAATTATAACATGCAACATGCTTTACACATTCAAATAAAGTGTTTTTCTATAAAGAAAATAAATCAGTCTAGTCATCATATCCAACTTAATTAATTCAACAAAAAGTCCAGATCCTTTGCTTTAGAGTAAAAAACATTAAATTACCTTACAACATAGACAGCTGCTAATAAAATTGGCATCAAGATATATATTTCTATTGAATCTACCATTTGAACAAGAGGCCCATGGGCCACATTGCTCACCTGAGCACATGGGCTAGTTAAAAAACACAAATCAGCTTAATATTAAAAAGCTTACTTGTTGGGGGAGGGGGGTTTGAATTTTCTATTACTTGAGAATGTCAATATATCAATAAAGCATACATGTATAATTTCACCATACTTGAAAAGAAAGTTTTTAAAGATTTTTCCAGTATATATCTTGATCTCCCATTGTGACCCCTCATGAACCCCCTCCCCTCCCCCCTCCCAGACATTATTTGAATAAATTTAAATTTTCACTACTTGCAGATGCTTACAAGTCAATTTGACTAAACACAATTTTTCTGCTCTGGAGAAGATTTTTTTCCTATATTCTGTGTACATTATATATACAAAACCTCTGATCCTTCATTGTGGCCACACCTTAACCCCCATGGTCATGCATGATTTGAACAAACTTGAATCTACACTACCTGAGGATGCTTCCACATGAGTTTCATCTTTCCTGGCCCAATGGGCCTGGACAAGAAGATTTTTAAAGATTTTTCCTATATATTCCCATGTAATACTTTGATCAGCCATTGTGACTCTGCCTACCCACCGGGGTCATGATTTGAACAAACTTGAATATACACTACCTGGGGATGCTTCCACATGAGTTTCATCTTTTTGGCCCAATGGTTCTGGACAAGAAGATTTTTAAAGATTTTCCTTATATATTCCTATGTAAAACTTTGAGCAGCCATTGTGACCCTGTCTACCCCTGGGGTTATGATTTGAATTAACTTGAATGTACACTATCTGAAAATGCAGCCACATGAGTTTCATCTTTCCTGGCCCAATGGTTCTGGAGAAGAAGATTTTTAAAAGATACCATTAATTTTACATTAATTCATAATTATCTCCCCTTGGAAGAGGACTTGACCCTTCATTTGAAGAAACTTGAATCCCCTTCACCCAAGGATGCTTTGTGGCAAGTTTGGATAAATTGGCTCAGTGGTTCTTGAGAGGAAGTCAAAAATGTGAAAAGTTTACAGATGGACGGACAGACTGACTACAGACAAAATGTGATCAGAAAAGCTCACTTGAGCTTTCAGCTCAGGTGAGCTAAAATGTTAATCTAAGTCATGTTAGTCATGACAAGCTAGCTTACATTTCTTTAACATGTTTGACAAATGCCAAAATAATTTTCATTTTGACTATGAGTCAAGTCAAACAAACATTAAGTTCATTCAGGGAGATAAGGTTCTATTTCATATCAAATACAACAATCTAAGAACAGTTTCATATATTAAATACAACAAATAAACCAATATACAACATCATCTTTCAAATAACTTCATTTTACACTAAATGTTAAAATCATTCCTTCCATCTAAATTACTAAAATATTGATTTCATTTTCAAACATGCATGCACATTGCACAAAATAATAATTTTTTTTTCCTGGATCTGGTGAAAAGGGGGGGGGGCATTAAATCTCATTCATCAGTCTGTCTGTCAGTCTCTCACAAAACCTTTAACCTTGGTCATAACTTTTGAATGAGAAGAGATAGACTAGTGCTTTCATATTTCACATGTAAATTAATTGTGACAAGACCTTTCAAAATACACTTTGGTTTTTGACCCCGTGACCCTTAACCTTGAAGTCTGACCTACTTTTCAAAAATTTTAACATTAATTTAAGTAGATCATAACATTTGAAAGAGAAAAGATAGGACTTTCAAATTACACTTGTATATTACCTGTGACAAGGCCTTTCTAAATATACATGTACTATTAATTTTGACCCTGTGACCTTAAAGTTTGACCTAATTCAAAAATGTTTTTTTCTTTCCTTATAACTTTTGATAAGCCTTTCATAATTGACATGTGCATTACCTAGCTGTGTCATGATGTTTCTGAGCACGCTATGATTTTTGATTGCTTGACCTTGACTTTCATATTTCATTATTTTACACAATTTTTCATTTTTTTGTTTTACTTTGGTGATTTCTTTAGAATGACATATGATAGGGAATTCAAATTTGACACAATAATTGGCATCCTATCTACTAAAGACACTGAAAGTGGGAAACCACAATTCTTTGAATTTGCTTTGTTTTATTTCTGGATTGGGATGCTTTTACCATGCATTTTCTAAGGTCTGAACTCATGTACCTGCATAACAATTAAATAAGTTTTTTTTTAAAAGTCTTTAACAAATTGTCTTCGAATCAAATAATATATAATATTAAGGTCATGCCTGGGGCAGAACATCAATATAAGAGGAGGGGGTGGCTGAAGGTTTATGATTTAAAACATCTGAAACATATTTAACATGTTCAAGCATTAACTCCTTGATTTAGAATAATAAGCTAGGTTGGCATTCCTATACTTTGAATCATTTTGCTGAGGTTTGGTCAGACCAAAATTAACCAGATCTGAAATATGGGAGTCAATCTTTCTGCACACAAAACTTGAATGTTCAAACAACAGCATGACAAAATGTAAACATGCACTGGATGAATATAGGTCCATATAGTAGAATTTTGTTAGTTACAGATGTATATGCATTTGATGGTAGTTTACTTCCAACATTTCAAAATAATTTTAAAAATTGTCATTGAAATTAAAATTTATATTACCCACTATACAATATTTGTAAAAACATTTGTACAAAGGGCTAATTGACCTTGACATTCATCTGAGTATCTTAAACAAGATCTCTTTAAAATATCCTGCTGGGAGTAAAAAAATAGCTAATTTTTTTTCTTTTAATTTTTTTTGGTGGTAATTTACAGGTTCAGAGAAAGTCTAGAACTATGAAATTGTCTAATTTTTACCCATCCCCAATTAATGTTCCTTTAAGCTGGTTAAAATACCATTTGGGGTAAAAAAAAAATGTTTACAGATATATATAACACAAACAAAAAAAAGTTGGCAAAAAGTCATCAGAAAGACTCAGATGACTCAATAAAATCTGATTAATTGAATTGATTCTGTTCCATATTAGCCAAGGGCACTGTCAGTTAAAGTAAATATATTGAGTATTAAGAGCTAGCATGTATTAATACATGTACATACTCAATATTTACATTATTTCCAGTATCCAAGGTATTAGCAAAATGTACGAGTCATTTTAAAATTTATCAATTAAATAAAGATTAATGTTGAAAAAAAAAAATTAAAGAAAAAGATACCCACTGAAAAATAATCCATGCACTACCAATTTCCCGATCACAATTCCAATCAAAATCGCAGACAGCCACAGGAAAACCTTGAGAAGACTCCAAGCATTGGGAGCGTACCTAGTACCCACAAAAGCAAAGTCGTTCCCCACCAATGGAATGGTGCATTCCTTCATAGAATGGGCCACTGGATCCTCAGCATAAATCAGAAAATTACAGAAAGTCACAAAGTAGGCTATGAAGAGCCTGAAGTAAGGATGCTGAAAGTGGTACTGGAAATTCTTCTTAGGCATGAAGTAGGACCAAACGGAGGCTGAGTCCACCTCATCCTTATCTTCGCTCCTCTTCTTCGTCCTCTCCAGGTCCTCTTTGGTCACCGAGAAGATCCCCTCCTCCACGTCATGGACCCTCTTCTGGAAGTCTTTCTCTTGTAGAGAGAGCTTCTTATTGTCTAATTTGAACCTCACTTCCGATTCCTTTCCTGTGACATCACTTCCTTCCTCTAGCCTGTCCTTTGATTTATTTGAGGTGAAGGCTGCCAATACTTTTGTTTTCATACCAGCCAGTCTTCCATTTTGACTTTTACCCTGTTGTTCTGTGTCATTCTGATTTGAGTCTGTTTGTGAATCTTCTGAATTTGCTGGGACGATTTCGTCTTTTGAGGGTTCCTGTTTTGGTTTATCAGGACTGCTTCTCTCTGTTTTGTTCTCTGAGGTTTCTTTACTTGACATGTCTACATCTGGCTTGTTGTTAACTGGTTCTTGGTCACTTGCTTCCTTATTTCCTGTAAAGATAAATTAAAACCATTGTCACATTACCTTGTTATATATATATATATATAGATGAAAAGAAGCAGATATTATAAGATTACAGAAGTGCTTTCTGAAAGCATACACTTTCATTGTATTTTAAAAATCCACTCAATCTAAACATTTGTGAATATACTTTTAAGGGAATACACTTAAAAAAAAACAACACCAGTTTGTATTATCACCAAAACCCAAACTTCAACTGGAATCTTTCACTAAAACATAGTATGTAAATATATAGCTGGAGGCAAACAATCATGGATAATTAAAATATAAGCACCAAGTTCAGTGGTGGTTTAAAAAAAATTAGATCCTGCTGATAGTGAATGTACTAAAATTAGTTCTTTAAAAAATAATCTTCTATCTTAGCGATTACCATAATATTTTTGTGAAGTTTAAAAGGATATCCATCTACAATGAAATATGCACCAAATTTTTGACTGAAATATATGTTTCAGTATATCTAATATGGTAATTAACTTAAAATATTTTTTTTTCTAATAGCATCTTTTAATTTATGCATATTTAAGAACACGACTCAAATCCTGTTTAAAGCATACATGTATAAAGGACTGTATTTATGACTGCTTACAATATATTTAAGGCATTTAGTAAAATTTGTCAGTTTTTATCCATGAAGGATCAATGGCTAACTGATACATTTCCTCCCAGTATTGCTCTTCCTATAAAAAGTATTGTAACCTTTAAGTTCTGCAAAATCTATTGATAAAAAAACATACCAGCTGTTTCCATTTCTGTATACATTAAGATAAGCTCCACTTTGTTACCCCTCCCAAACTTCCTGTAAGATCTTATTAGCAGTATTTGAGATGGCCTTCACTGTTGACCCTCCCCCTTGTGTGCATAGCTGTATATCTTTTTTGCTTGCCCCTCTTTCAATTCATTCTGCAATATTGTTACACCCTCACCCCTGTGCTTACAAGAAGTGTTTTCCTGCCTGTCTATGAGATCCCCCCCACCTACCTGCATTTTTTTTCTGTCTCTCTACGAGATGTTTTACACTACCACCCCTGCCCACCACCCACCCCAACCCCATAAGCCTGTACTTACCAGTACTGTTTCCCTGCTTCTCTATGAGATGATCTTGGCTATTAACACTCCCTTTGTCCATGTCCTCCTCCATTGCCAAGACTTGAATCCTTTTGGATTTGGCTTTTGGTGGGTTTTGATTCTGAACAAAATAAACACATATCATCTGTTTGATTTCTCTTAAGAATTTTCTTGAAGGAATTAACCACCTGACTTTATGATCATTATTGAGCATGTTTATAGAAATGTCTGTTAATTTTTTTTATATTTCAGATGAATTCAGTAGATTGATCTGCTAGAAATATTATCCTCCTTTTCATCATGTTCATCAAGGTTTCAAATCAATTCAATGAATGAGCAAAGTAATGAAATAACACAGTTGGAAGGAGAGCTAGGGGATTAGAGATACTAATACGCCATCAGACCTGCCAACCAAAATTGATGCTGTGGGGGGTCATGACCCAACATTCAGAATTGAAATGTTGGGTCATAGCGCGCGGCGACATTTTTGGGTCATAGCGCGCGGCGACATTTTTGTTGAGGTTTGAGTAACAAAATGCTCCCAATTTTTAGGCATCAATGCAAACAGTCAAACACATGCATGTATATGTTATATTTTATTGCAGACTTGATTTTTACTTAGGACAGGTTACTTACAATTGCTTGTATAAGAACACTTTCAGATTGATAGTTAGATTCAGATACTTTTAGTTCAATAGAATTTTTGCAAAGTTTTAAAAATTTAAAAAGTTTCTGGGAAACATTGTTAGATTCTACATTAATTTTCAACATATTACACAATCAGAAAATTGTAATTAGACATATTACATTGAAAGATTAATATTGAAAAATTGCATGGGGTGGTGGTATATAAGAAATATGTGCCATCTAATTTCCTATTATTAATTTTAAAACACACACAAAAAAAATTAAATGAATCAAATACTACAAAATAAATTATGAAGGATACCTAACACCCCAAACAAAAACTTAAAATCATTAGAGTCATGATGTGACTGACAAGTGGGTATTCCCTTGTCATAGCCATTTAACAAAGAAACACAACGTACAATTAATACTACATTTTGGGAGGGGGGAGAGAAATTCAATATACTTCACTTTAGACTCTTTTGCTTTATCTTAAATTAATATCATTTTCTTTTAACCACTACACTTAACAATAATTTCAATATACGAGAGCTGATAAAATCAGCTGTTACATGTATCAGTTATGCTTTGTAGTTTCGTTTTTTTACTTTCGTTTTTAAAAAACGATCCCAATGTTTATCATATCATTGTATTTAATTAATATCTGTTTTTAATAAAATGATATTTAATTAACCTCTAAATCTATGTGGTTCACCATGCATATACCCATTCAAATGGTTACGTAATTAATCCCCTAAATGCTCCAGGCATATTACCTGTACAGCTGTGTAAGTCTGCGATCAAGCGTGAAGTGATTTCCTGTGGCTAATTATGTTCCCCAAACGGAGTTTGGGAACATATTGTTTTTACTCGGTTTCTTATTATTATTATTAAGGTCTTCCGTCTCCAACGGAAGACCTTATAGTGATTCTACTGTTTCTTATTATTATTATTATTATTTTTCATTTTTATTTTTTTTACCTTTTCAAATCGCGTTTTCTCGAAAACTACTCAATGAATTTCAGCCAAATTTTCAGGAGTTATGTGTTCTGCCATGCCATTTTGAAATATTAAAAGAATTTGGTAAAATTCACTTCCGGTCAGGAATTATTGCAAATTTTCATTTTTTCCACTAAAAATCTATTCCGTGAATGTTCTCAGAAACTATAAAAGGTAGGATTCTCAAACTTTCAGATATGATAGAGGTTGGTTCGTAGATGTGTGATAAGAACATTTCGTGTGTCGTCGCCACTTCCGGTCGTCACAGGAAGTGATTGAAAAAGGGCAATTTTTTGAACTTTTTTGTTTTTTGATATTTTTCATTGATATTAATAACATTAATAGAGACTTATTTGAGAATGATAAATATGTGATTTGATTTAGAATCGAAAATACCAACCTCGAGATATTCGCATTTAAAAATTTGAAGCGGTGGTCCCCAATGGCGTAATGGTTAGCGCATTGGATTTTCACGCTTGCGACCCGGGTTCCATCCCCCGTATGTCCGAATTTTTTTTAACACTTTTTTCATTTCGATTTTACGTTTTTCTTTCAGAATCGGACGGAAGACCTCTCGTTGCGCGCAACGAGTATCTTTTCTAGTTATTATTCTTTTTTTCTTCTTTGTTCTCCGGTACTTTTTTGTCCGCGAGTGTTCTCAGAAACTGTTCACCCAACTAAGTTAAAACCTTTTTAGGGTTAATAGGTGTCAAGTGTAGGTGTGCACAACGAAGGTCATTTTGCGCGCATACGCATGCACGTGCGTGCGCGTGAAATGAATGAAATGACTGATATACTTATTATAGCCATAACTTTTACATTTTTTATTGAAATGCTTTGAAACTCATTCTATAAGGATATATTAATAGTCTAGATAATATGACATGGTCAAATTAGCACGAACTCACGTGCATGCACGTGCGCTTCCCTCTGATTGGCTGAAACAAAGATTTCAATATCTCTTTTGTTTTTTGACGAAATGCTTTGAAATTTTAAACATAGTCATGCATTAGGATATACTACAATAAAATATATAGCAGGTATCATGAAAACACGCGCATGCACGTGCGCTGCAATCTGATTGGCTTAAACTTTAAATGGGTATAACTCCTTTGATTTTCAACCAAACAGGATGGGATTTAGAACATAGATAGACATAGTGGATTCCTACAAAAAGGTAAGGTCATCATGCACATGCATGCACGTGAGATGGGTAAAATCAAAAATACACTTGATGAAGCGTATTTTTTTAATACTTTTGGATTAAATTCTTTATTATTTTATTATATTAATGTATATAGATAGTGTAGACAAGAGAATTTGGTCATTACGAACATGCATTTACATGTGTACGCGTGCAAATGCTAAAATTTGAATATACTCGGTATACTTCAGGGAAACGTTGTTAAAGTGTAAAATGCATAGAGTTTGTCATTTTTAATGAAGCTTAAAGGGAGTATGGCACCAAAAGGGAGTTGGGGAGCGTTTGGGGAACATCTGTAACGGTTCCCGTTACAATTAGCCCTAGTTAACAGTTTTTTTTAACACCTCGGCAAACAAAGATACAATCTGTGTGCATTGAATAAACAAGATGTTCATATCCTGATTTATAGAACACAAATCGGAAATTTTAGGATGAATTTTCAGATCTTTCTTGTTGAGACAAACATGCTAAATCAATATTGGGTCAAAAAATTGGGATGATCGATTTTGCGGGTGAAAACAATGACACGCCGCGGGTCATTATAAATGGGGGGTGAGAGGTCAATTTTGCGGGTGTGACCCACCGAATGCGGGTCACTTGGCAGGTCTGACGCCATTACCACTACAGTATAAATGGTATAAGTACCTGATCTTTTTACAAAATGCAGGAAAAATACAGAAGAAAACAACATGAACAATGCTATTCTAGTTGAATTTAAATCTCATGCAACAAATTGAAGTTTTCATGCAAGAATGTTAATCTTTTATTGTACATTTTCAGTTGGTAGACAAGAATATAATATCTAACATATTGTCTAATGTGTACAGTTCTGCTAGTAATTTGAGGCATGTCTGGGTAGAAGAGTGAACATTCAGGGAATAAACTGCATCTTATTTTAAATCAGTTTCATTTATGTACCATACTCTAACCCATAGCCTAAGAAATCTTTCTAAAATGTGCATTGAGTCATCTTATTTCATGAACATCTATAAATCTAGTGAAGATCCACAGATAACAGCTAATAGCAACAATATCTACTTTTCAGACGTGAATTTGAGAGTTTTAATTGATAAACACTCTAGTGTAACACATGTATTAAAGTAAACAATAGAAATATATTAAAGTATATGTGGGAAAAGCATACTGTATAATAGTTTTAGACTTAAGAAATGCATTCAGAAAAGTAATAGCATACAGATAATTGTCTTGTGCCAAAGTGGATGGCTTATAATAACTTTCAAATAAATCACTAGTACAAAATATTTCTGAAAGTCTGCTGATCCTTTTTTCATAATTGGAACAGAAAGAATCATACAGGATACTCAGCATAAGATAAGTAAGACGTTGATCTATTAAATGTAGAATTTACAGTGAATCAAACATACAAGGATTTTTAATGAACACCTGCAAAATTCACCATGCAATACATGTGTGTATAAATAATTTCATAATAGATGAGTAAAATAACACTGCCTGTGACTACAGCATGCTACAAAAAAGGTTGCTTGTAATTCTCTTACCTAACACTTCAGAAATTTCTGTGCAACCTTAATATAAGAGTATAAGAAATAAATGCCATATGAAATATTCCCTCCTTCTTGATAAACAATATACTGTACATATAAATGGACATTTTATAACTGAAATGTTGAAATTGAATCCAAAACTTATTTGAATCCTTAAAATTTAAAACTGTTTGTCATTTATTGTATCTGTTTGTAACGTTAACTCTTAGAGAAACCAATAACACTGTATAACTGCATGAATTGGGAACGTGAATATTTCAACATGCATCGACATTTAAATCCTGCTATAAAACTGACATATATCGTCTTTTACTGCTGATCATTCTTAGTTAGATTTGTTAAATTAGTATAAGAAATTGCAAAAGTTACCAGTAGATGAAACTACATTGTACTTAATTATTATTACCAAGAATTATCATAACAAGATACTAAGTAGCACATTTTAGATTTAGCATGTTTACTTTAGAAATATTTATTTCTCATTGTTACCAGTGAAGTGATTACTTGCATCAATGACCTATCTATCTAATAATATGAACGGATCTAAATGTCATTTCAATCATGATATTTTCTGAATTCATATTATGTTACTAAGGGATTTATATCTTTAAAATAAACATGATAAATGTTAAAAATTCTCATTTTCATAAATTCTCCAAAATCAATGTTTGTCATACAATTTTAATCAGTTAAAACAAACCTTTCCCTTCCCCGACATGACTACAGGATAATCAGACATACATCAAGTCAACTAGTTATGGCCCACGCCTCATTCCATCCTTGTCAGATTTGACGGGCCATGCCCAAAGTTGTAAACAAATACGGGGTGGGGTAAAACACGTACAAACTGGAAAATAAGCAACTAGGCCTATCATTCTTAAATTTGGAAAATAAAGAAATTGATATAATACTGTTATTATGTCTAAACCTATTCTGTATTTTTTTATCTCCTCGTATTATTTATTTTTGAAGGACAATCGTCGACTATGGTAAGAGAAATGAACACACTACAATATAAAACGTGTACTTCCGCTCATAAATGACAACTTCCTGTTCGGGAACTCAGATGCTGCAGCAAGTATGTTGGTGTAATAAATCCATAAAGTAGTCATTCAAAAACAATAAGAGAAGCATGTCTGTTCAAGAAAATGGATACAAATATTTGTAAATTAATATTCTTCATAAAATACAACACGAGCTTTAAAAAATTATATGACATGCATCCTACATTCCGAGGAAATTCAAGTTTCTTTCCCGCTACCGTAGGCCATAGCTTGGTTTCACTGTAATTGCTTACTTCCACAGTAAGATTACGTAATCTTTAAGTGAGAAGCCTTCATTTTGAATATAGAAAGACATATGAGCTCGTCATGTCATCTTTAAGTTTGACTACCTCTGTACCCCTTAATCAGTTTATAATATAAATACAATATGAGCTCCTGTAGACAGACTGGGAAAACACACATGAAATGCAAACATACAGAAATACATTTTTTTAAAGCAATAATTTTGATTCAGAATGTCATGGATGAAAATTATGGGCCAATAAGTTCCTTTGCTGGTCTCTTACTAGTTAGAATAATCTATCTGTGTCTCGGTACAGGCCCTCACCACAGTTAGAATACGTCCCATATACTTGCAATGTAGCAAATCGGAGCGGATCTGCTCCGAAACGATTTTGAAGAATATAAAATGATTTGCACTGGGAATAACTACCAAAATAATCAAAACAAACCTTTTTGAGATTGCTTATGCCTTTTATCCCATAAAATAATCCATATAAATACGAAAATCCAATTAATTTTCTCAACGTTTTTCTCTCGATTCAAATTACTACATTCGGAACTCTCTAGATTGTTCCTAGTAAATGTACTATGCGAGTTATCGCCCGTGTTTCTTTCTGCTACATTACGAATACACGGAACGAATTCTATCGTTAAACCGGGTCCGTAGGACAATATCATTTTAACGATAGAACATTCTATCTAGTCTCTTACATGTGTAATGGTTTGGGCCGTGGATATCCGTTAGGGTAGCTCAGTTGGTAGAACACCTGATTAGTGATGCAAGGGTCTCAAATACATGATATCCTTCCCTGTTACACATGTTATATGACAAAAATGTTATTGGTATTGAGTTAGATATAATCTTAATTTCAAGTAATGAATCTCCTAAAAGAATTTCACTTCCAACTGAATACATATTTCCATATAAAAGAGATGTCAAATACAGGTATATTAAAATGTAATGACTCATTTAACTTTCCAATCACTGCTACAGCTATTAAGCATTAAAAAAAATCATAATTAAGAAATTATCATTTCAGAACACGATGACATGTTTCAAACTATAATAGTCTTGCAAACTATAATAGTCTTGGAGCAAAGATCATATTAAGATGAGGCGACTGAATGTTGCAAGTAAGAAGCAGGCCATTAAAGTGGTGACAGAACTCGATGCCTTCCCTAAGGTTCTGGATGACTGCCAGGAGAAGACTGCTTCAGGAGGGGGAAGTTAGTGTCATTAATGTCCCAGTCTAACTTATAGTATTCATCCCATTTTCAGTTAGTTTAGTGCCTGATTTTTTTTTTAAAAAAGGTGTTATGTTGGCTTTGATGCTTATGTAAACCATTCAATATTTTACTCCAAAAGTTGAAAACTGACATTTAATCCTTATTGAATCTAAATTATTGATTTCTAATATTCGACTATCTAAATTTTCTTTGTTGGTCTTGCAAAGTAATTCATTTATGTTTTTTTTCCATTTCAGTATCAGTTGCTGTATTTGTGGTTATATTTATTTTGGTTGTGTCAGAGATAATATACTACTCAACAACAGATCTCAAATTTGAATATGAGGTTGACACGGGTCTTGATGGGTAAGGTCCGATGTTTTAGATAAGAGGAGTGTTAAAATTATATTAAAATGCTTGTAATCAAGTAATTATTTGTGTAGTAGATTTTAAAATGTCAAAGTGAAGACTGTTTAGTTTTAAAAAATCATTGAAATGTGATTTAACATAGCAAAGTGATAAAAAGAAATAGATAAGTACAAGCTGACTTTAGTGTAGATTTACTGACATTTACTGAAAAAATAAATAAAATTCATTTGGATTGATTTTTCCCCCTGTATGCTTTCAGAAAACTGAAGCTCAACATTGACATGACAGTTGCAATGAGATGTAGTGGTAAGTTACAATGAAATGTAATTGTAGGTCACAATATTAATTGATTGTAATGGTAAGTTACAATAAAATGTAATGGTCAGTTACAATGAAATATAATGGTAAAGTAAATGTTTCCCACACCATGTTTCTAAAGCTTCTTCAACTTCATGATTACTAAAGGTTTTTGTCTATTTACAGCAATAGGAGCAGATGTCCTGGATGTAACGGGCCAGGACACACATGGCTTTGGAGAGCTGAAATACGAGGATGCTTATTTTGAACTCAGTCCAAACCAGAGACATTACCATGAGACTGTCCAGGAGATCAGCGAGTTTCTGAGATCGGAGTATCATGCTCTCCAGGATGTCATGTGGATGTCAAGGGGATTGATCGCGACATATAAAACAGGGATGCCCAAAAGGTTCTTTGTTATATGTGGGATAATTACTGTTAGCTGTAGAGAAAAGAATGATGGTTAGGTTAATAGTCATTCAGAAAGATGCAATAGACTGCTGTTAACCTGTGTTAATAATTTTTATTGAGATCAAATTTTGTGATTTTTGCAAAAATTTGATACACACTTTAGTCAATGTGTAGAATACTGGTCAGTTTCCCTCTCTTATCGTTGTGTTATGGTTGGCCTGACTCAACCACAACAGTTATCATTAAACAATATATTTTCAACTCAGAGTACACCTTTTTCAAGAATTTCCTTTCTTTAATGTACTGTAGGTACAGGTCTGTCTGGTACATAGGTTTTATTTTCTTCGTAATTTTCAGAGAGACTCCAGCTGAGGGCGACCCTGACGCCTGCCGAGTCTACGGGTCACTGGAGGTCAATAAAGTGGCTGGAAATTTTCACATCACAGCAGGAAAGTAGGTCATTTTACATTTTTTACATGTATTTTTAGTACCGGTACTTTGATTACATACTTTCATCTAAAAGATTATTCAAACAAATTTGACTGCAATAGTAAGATAATTTCTGGTACATGTACTTACATAATTTATTTGTCTATTATTTAGGTCAGTTCCAGTTTTTCCAAGAGGTCATGCTCATATTTCAATGATGGTTCATGAAAAAGGTATAAATTAAGAACACTAATACCTTGTACCTACAATAGGACTATAAACTCAGTTTTTCAATTGAATTTTTAATTTCTTGGCATTTTTCAGTCTTTTTATTAATTTAGAATCTATTAATTGCTTGTGAATATCACAAGTTTAGTAATTACAGAAGTTTATTTATTACAGACTATAACTTTTCTCATCGGATTGACCACTTTTCCTTTGGTGATTCTGTAAAAGGCATCATAAATCCCCTGGATGGAGAGGAACAAGTAACATCAGACAGTAAGTTGAATTATTGTATTACTCATACCTTAGAATAAACGACAAAGAAAACGGTCCGCCTTACCACAGTTTGGCAATACATCCACTATTTTGTAAAACTGTGGTTTAAAATTTTTTGACAAAAAAAAACAAAATAAAGGACAAATAAATGTGTTTTGGTATATTGTAGATTTCCATGTTTTTAACTACTACATAAAGATCGTACCAACTGAGGTCAGGACCTACGCAGCGGGAAACATTGACACATTCCAGTTCTCCGTCACGCAGCGGGTAAGGGAGATAACTCAGAGTTATAGAATGACATGACTTGTCTGACGGTTTCTTCAAAATATATACCACAATTAAAAAAAGTCTGTTCTGTTGAGTTGAGGTTGACATGCTAACTTCTTCATGTTATATTTTTATGAAACAAATACCATTGTAACAATCAAACACTAATATAATGGTAAATATCCCTTCTGTGCATGCAAATTTTTCAGGGAGTCCAAAATAAAAGAATTAATGTTTTTGCAATGGCTAATTTGATACAGATTATTGACTTTTTGTTTTTAGAACAGAACAATTAATCACAATAAAGGGAGTCATGGCGTGCCAGGAATATTTGTGAAATATGACCTTAATGCACTGAAAATTCGTGTCAAAGAAACACATAGACCTTTTACTCAGTTCCTAATTCGGCTGTGTGGCATTGTGGGAGGAATTTTTGCTGTCTCAGGTGAGTTATACATGTAGGTGCAGGGTTGTCCCCAAGACCTGGGGGCCAGGGAATTTCTCTGCCTATAATGGTGTAATTCCCCCGTTACTTTGGTATTCCTCCTCACTCCCCTGTTAGGAGAGGAACCCCAGTCACCCTCCTACTCTTTACATGTCCCCTGCTATTTAAATTCTTAGGGGCAACCCTGAGGTGTATGCACCATGAATGATTTTATGAAGCAGTATAGCAAAAATGGTGCCTCAAAGAAATTTTAATTTATTACAATTAATTTTTGGGGGGATCAGATTTGGGAAAGTGTGATAAGCATGAATTTCAAACATTAGCATATGTTTGTTTTTAAACTTGTTGTTACTTAGGTTGAGAATTCCATATTTAGGTGGGACTAAGTTGGTCATATGTTGTCAAATTCATGATAAGTAACTGAATGCCTATGGATTCTCAATCTCATTGCTCATTTTGTCACAGGAATGATACACAACTGGACAGAATTCTTTGTGGAGGTGGTGTGTTGTAAATACAAACTTGGAAAATATAAAACTAAAGACATCATAACTGACAGCACAGGTACAGCACCGATATCACTCACAGAAAACACGTCCAGCAGTTTACCTAACGTCAATTTATTCTCCTCCCCAACCAGCTGACACCAGGTGGACCACAACTAGATCTGATCAAGGATGGTGTCCCTTTATTGTAAACTAAAGATTTTTGTGCATTTTTATATGCATGAACATGTACATTTCTTGTGTATTTATATGTTAATGCATCGAAATGATTTTTTTTTTTGGAATTATAAGAGAATATCTGCATTCATTTCATGGTTATGTTATTAATTAACAATTAATTTTTTTTTCCCAAAAATCCAACCATTGAGGATAATTATAATATGATATAAAATTTGCTACAAATAACATAGGTTAACATTGTGTTTATGATTTTATGATGCAAATGTTGGGATTTTGTTCATTCTTGTATATTACAATGTATATGTTTTTTTTTTCATTTTGTGCTCTTGCTCAATCAGAAAAAAGTTATTTCATATAAAATACAAGTATTATTTATTTGTGCCATTGGAATAGAAATCCTGTTTGCCTATAATGCTGCAGAGAATTTACATGTTTTAGCATAAAATTCTTTTTGATTAAATTTATTTTATCTTTTCTTTAGTTCACATTTCATACTTTTATGAGTTGCTAACTGTTCCAATACAAAATTTAAAAATATGTCATGTATCAGGATGCAAATAGAAGGTCAACTGCTGAATTTTTTTGATACATTAAAGTATTTTTTTTAGCATTGTGTATGTATGTCTGCTACCAAAGCTGGATAGTATTGTTGTTGTAGGTACACTGAGGTATTTATGTTTTACACGTACAATGCATTTAATTCCATTTAGGTTTTGTAGGCTTTAAGTGTATATGGCTTATTTTGTATATACCGAGCATTTGGAGAATTTATATACATGTATGATTGCAATTACACATACCATCCGTTCATTATACTGTAATCATAAAGGTGTATATATATGCATGGCATGAAAATTTTATTTGATTTTTGGGAGATTTATATCATAAATTTGAAATATATGTATGCATCGAGGTAAAAAAGAATTGATTGTTCACAGATTCTTATTAAATAACATCAAAAAGAAACTTCTTGATTGTCACTGTTTTGATGTTGAGGATGTATATATTGATGATTGCTAGGTATGGTGCATCCTTAACAGTCAGGGCTCCTAAATGTAGTTGTGCAATTGGGACTGCTGACAATCTTCATTCAACATTTTATGGACTGACTGAAGTGATGTCTTTTGGGGGTTTGGAGATATTACGCATCTTTCATGAAATACTTATTTCTTGACCAATCACATTAAACTTTTCAGTGAAAAATAATCTCGTTTACATGTACGTCATTGTGTTAATTGCTAACCTGGATAGTGTGAGAATAATTTCTGGATAAATCATAATAATTTGATATCAAAATTATAAATGAGGTTTCAGGATATATATTACCTATATTTACACAAAAGTTCAGCCCCCCCCCCCTCAATATACCCAGTATACTTTAAAATTAAGAACTGAAACTAAGATGGGCCTGAAAATTCAGCTTTTACCAGGCTACTATCAAATACCCAAAACCGGCAAAGAACAATTCTTTAAAAAAAGTCCTGCTACATTGTATATACAAAAAGTTTACAATAAAATTAATATACAATCTTTTCTATTATTTATTAAAAAAAAGAACATTCATAACTTTGCAAAACAAAAAAAAAAATAAATTCTGTTAATATATAGCAACACATCAGAGACATATGTTATTTATTAATGTCTCGGAACATATGTATTATTTTTTTTTAGTTTGGTCAAAGTAATTTGAAGTAGGATTTAAGTGTGTACTCTTTTCAAGTTTACTGTCATAACAACCAGCAGGGACCTTATATACTATATTAATTACATATGTCCCCGCTGCCAGCTATAAACTTTATTTTATTGATAAATTCAAGAAGCTTGAATTTTGAAGAAGAAACTTATTACTAGTTTTACCCGATCACACGAAATTTAGTAGATCGAGTTATCTAATACTGTTTACATTTGTTCTACTTCCGCTATGAATCAAGCTTTCGACATTTCAAAGATTTGGCATTTATTTTTTATTTGATATGGGGATTCTCTTTATTTTCTGTTTAATTTTAAGTTTTATAGACATTGCAGAATTTAGTTATACATATAGCGTACGCGTCAAGACTCAACATGGACCGGTTGAAGGTTTCGCTATTCCCTCGCAGTATGCTCAGAAAAACAGAAAACATATCAATATATTCCTCGGCATTCCCTACGCAAAACGACCCATAGAATACAACAGTGACCCAAAGCTCTACAGATTTAGGGTAATTTTTTTTTTACATTACCATGTTTACTTTAAATTCATCGAAACATATACAGCTGTTATGGATGCTCTTGTATTTTGCAAGATCTTTTGACTGAATTTTCAGTCAGTAGGGTTGTAAAAATTGGGATATGCTGCATGAAATGTAGCAAACCAATTTACTTAAATCTTATCTAGATCATTGTGCTTTTTATTGCTCTAAGGGTAACTAATGCAACTCAATATGATGGCAAACTCCATCCTCAGTATCAGTTGTATTTCTATGATATTTAACATTTATAGACATGTGGCTTTTTAAAAATTATATAAAGCCTTCTTCGAACTTTGTTTGTAGAAGCCAGAGCGACCATATTGGGAGGGAGTATTGCAGGCTAAATCCTATAAACCAGCCTGTCCACAGCACCTGTGGTACGTCAGGGAAACAGTTCCAAACATGGGCAGTGCCAACATCAGCGAAGACTGCCTCTACATGAACATTTTTGCACCAAGTGTAAGCTACATGATTTTATTTTAGTTCTTTCTTGTCTGGAATGTTTATATGTTATACAGAATCATGTTCATTATGATTGTTCAACCTTTTCAAATGCTAATGATATTCAGTATACTCAATTATTTTAATAAAATATATGTTTTGTATCAACAGAATACAGAAGAAATCCCTAGTAATAGTCCCACACTTTATCCAGTAATGGTCTTTATCCATGGTGGGGGTTACACCATGGGAGCCTCACAGGAGTACCCCGGGGTCTTCTTGGCAGAGAGGGATGTGGTGGTGGTCACATTTAACTACAGACTGGGGCCACTAGGTAAGAGGATCAAGATTTAGTGTGGAAAATTGAACCTAAATTCAGAAGTATTTGGTAAGAGGCCAGTGACAGGGTATGGTAACCGTTAAATATATTCCAACTTTACAAGACTAGAAGCATTTGCCTGAGTACTGTTGCATTTAACTTCAAAGTCAGGAAGTGAACTGCATCAGCAATTTACAAAACAATAATAGCACTAGACAAGAGGACCAAACTGGGTTTATTTACCTTTAATTGCTGACAAGTACTACATGTAATTTGTAAGATGCCCAAAAGAGGATATAGTTTCTTTTAGCTACAAGAAGGAATTTTTAAGCAAGAAACCCAACAGGTGATAGGTTACTTATAATTACAGACTAAAACCTCTAGGTCAGAGGTTTTATTCTGTAGATAAAAAACCACAGTCAATTCCACATTAATAAGTGTCGGAAAACTGAGAATTTTGATAGTCTTCAAAAGAGATGATCATAACTTATTCCGCATTTCTGCTAGCTCCAATTCAATGTTGTTTACAAGTTTCATGCTTAAAATGCAGGACAGTTGACATTGTTGACATTGATGATAAAAATTAAAGTGATAGGTACACTTACATGTTGAAGATTTTTCCTTGCAATGCATTTGAGTTGGCTATATTCATATTTCACAGGAATCTTAATTTTCTTAAAAGAAACACTTGATTTTGACTCATTATGTAAATTTTGTAAGTTGAGTAAGAAAATTGTTACTTATTCCTTGTATATTTCCAATATATGTCTCTTCGTTCTGCATTACATTCACAATATTGACTCATTCTGTAGGGTTTTTGTGTACCAATGATGCCAACTCTCCAGGGAATTACGGAATGTGGGACCAGGTCAGGGCACTGGAGTTTGTAAAAGAAAATATTAGAAGTTTCCGAGGAAATCCTGGGATCATCACTATTTTCGGACAAAATACTGGGGCTTCAAGTGTTGGCTTACAGATTCTCTCCCCAAGGAGTGTCAGTAAGTACATAGAGCAGATACTAATAAAAGTAGTGTAAGAGGGTAATCCAAATATTGCAAAGGACAAGGTTTTACTGTCTATGAGCCACAGTATTTTAAATTTCAGTACAGTGTATTCTGATTATTAAAGAAATTGTTATATTTACTCTAAATTCAGACCTCTTCCATCGCGCCATCATGCAGAGTGGTTCAGACAGAAGTGAGTGGGCTATTATTAAGACTAACAATGATGCCCAGTATTATGCCCAGGAGCTGGCCCGTGAACTGGGCTGCCCGACTGGGGACATGTTCAGGTTGACTCAGTGTCTCAGGGAACACAGGTCGTTTGGAGAGATTGTAAATGCTTCATCCAAAGTCAGGCTAAGGGTAGGTTTAATAAAAATTATTCATTAAAGTAAAGCACTCCGAGAAGAAAGTTCCTGGGCTGGATGATTTTGCTTGCTATAAGCATAATTTGTTAAATCCATTAAGATCACAATATATTTTAAAGCCTTTGGGAATGAAAATTTCTTTTCTGTAAGCGTCAATTCATTTTAACTATGTTTGTCACATTTTTTTCTTTATTCAAAGACATACTACATTCAGTAAAACATTCAAAATAATTTTATTCAAATATTTGTTCTACAGTTTTCCTTAACTAACTTTTGATGCACATAATGTTTTAATTTATTTACAATGCAAATTTTTCAAAATAGAAAAAAATATCTAAAAATTTTTAAAGTAAAGTTTCTGTGTCCTCCACTCTTTCAGCCTGGCTCTGTTGGGAACCCCTGGGGTCCAGTAGTGGATGGATCATTGGTGGGGACAGTCGCTGCATTCCTACCAGACCATCCCAAACAAATGAGAGAACTGTACAACTTCAAACCTATTGTAGTGATGGGAGGCCTCAACAAAGACGATGGGTCCTTCTTCATTCGTGAGTATTTTATAAGGGAAAAATTAACTAGAGTCTGTATGCGTTTTTCTTAGATGAACAATATGAGAGGAATTAGGAGTTTTGAAATTGTTTTACCTTCAATGTGCTGAAATATATGCTCTCATTACTAAATTAATGGCATTAACTGTCTTAGAAGATGTAATATTTAAAAAAAAAAATACAGTACTGACTACTGAGTATTATGATTAAATGTGATAATTAAAAATGATTTTAAGAAAGGAGATAGGTGAATTTAGTGTGCAGAAAGCCCACTAGCTTCAGATATATAAAATTCATTTTCAAATTGTGAATTAAATATTTAGAGTAAAGTTCTCATCGTTGATTTTAATAAAGTCATGATAAAGAAAAAGTTTTGAGAAAAATTTTTTGTTAAAATTTATTCTTTTATAAAAGAAAAATAATATGGTATCCATTGGGTTCGAACCCTGGTAATAAAAATCCTGAGTTGCATTTTTTGTGGAGACTAGCATGCTAACCACTACGCTACACAAGTCCTGATGAAGGGTGGCATTTAAATCATGTTTGTGATATGACCATTGACTTAAGGGACTTCAAGTATTTCTTGAAAAGATACGAAAGTTATGTCATAAAATTATATTTCAAAGGTATAGTGGGTCTTTGCTCCATAATTTTGGAAACCAAAATATGCATGTTTGCATTAACTTTCAAAAAAATGGAGAAAAGACCCACTCATATCAAAAAATAGTGTTATAGTGTGAAAAAATGACCCGTTTTTTCCTCTCTCATGTGTGTATAATATTTTATAGGCAAATAACTTCAATCTTCATGAGATTTGTGGAAGTTGTAGGGATTTTACATAAAGTATACTTTAATGTTAGATGAAATATTAAGGAAAATTTTGATAAAATTGAGATTTTATTTTTCACCTTCATGTTTGTTGCGCTATGGGCTTATCTCTCGTCATGTTCACCCATCTCCTTTATTTTATTAGACACCAGGCATTGCCTAAATAAGCCCTCTCAACAGGTATATGGTTCATTCAAATTAAACTTTTATTCTTTACAGCTAATTTGCCAACTCTAGATGAAGGCATACAAAAGATTCAGTTTGACAATATAATTAACGAGTTTCTAAGTGATAGAGGGGTCAGAGATAGCGTAACGAGGGATGCCATGATATACCAGTATACGTACTGGCCACAGCCCAAGAATCAGACCATGATCCTTCACAAGACTGTCGACGTGAGTATATAAATAAAGTATATAAATCTTAAGCAATCCTATCCTTGCTTACTAATATGGCTGATTAAATAAGCTACCGCTGATGTATTTATTTAAAAGAGTTGGTTTGATTTTTATAACACGTAACGTACAAGCCTTTACTGTGTGAGGAGTACATGTACTTATAATTAATACAGATATAAACTTTTTATTCTTAATAGAATCAATGAATTTTATACTTGTGTTGTAACTTGTAAGAAAAGGTGCTTGCAAAAGTTCAAACATCAAATATATAAGCTTTAGAGAGAGGGAGAGTCTGTTGAAATAGAATACTACATGTAGTATGAGGAGTTTTTAATTTGTCTAATCCTGTCTTTTAGAGATTTAACATTTTCTTATTTTTGTCTTAGATGATGTCTGACTACATGTTTGGTACAGGAATGAATGAGGCTATGAGATTTCAAACAGCGAAGAACAAGACATTTTTTTATGTCTTCAATTACTTCTCTTGGAATGATTACCTTCCATATTATAGAGGCATGTATACTGTAAAAAAAAATCTGCAAGGTGTTTTCTTGTGGTAAAGTCTCAATAGCAAAAATGTTACTGCAAAATACATTAAATATAGATCTTAAAATTCTTATGCAAGGCCCCTCCATAAGCATAGAATTTCAATTTAACTTTTTAGGTCACCTGAGTCACTCAGGTGACCTATTGCTATCTGTTTTCGTATGTCGTCGTCCATCATACGTCGTTTGTCGTCAATCGGTCATAAGCTTTTGAACATTTTTAGCTTCTTCTCCGCAACCACTCAACCAATTTCAACCAAATATGGCATAAAGCATCTATGAGTGAAGGGGAACAAAAATTATGAATTTCATGCTCCCTGCCCCCCTGGGGCCTGAGGGGTGGGGCCAAAACCACTAAAATTAATGCAATCTTTAAACATCTTCTTCTTTACTCCTGGACATCAAGCAGTCAAACTGTTAGCATGAATGTAATGTCCATTGAGTCCTCTACCAAAATTGTGAAATTATTGCCCCAGGGTGAGGGGTTCTAGTGCTACGGTGGGGCTCTATTGATTATATAGTGAAAATGCTAATTTCTTTATAAATCTTCTTCTCTGCTCCTGGGTATTAAATAAACTAAGTAAGTACATAGTTATGATGGGGAAGAATGCCTCTTCCAAAATTGTGAATTTTATGGCCCCATGGTCAGGGGTTCTGGTGTAAGGGTGGGGCTCTATTGATTATATAGTGAAAATAAATTAAATCTTTGAAAATTTCTCCTCTGCTCCTGGGTATTTAGCAGATTTACCTAATATATATTTATGATAAGCAAGGACCATTCTTCCTGAATTATGAATTTCAAGGCCCCTGGGTCAGGGGTACCATAGAGGGGGGTCTACTTATATACTGAAAATGAATTAATTGTATGAAATCTGGTCCTTGGTATTAGTCAAACATTTTTGGTAAGCAAGAGTGCCTTTTCCAAAATTGTGAAATGTGTGGACCAAGGGTCAGGGGTTCATGTGTGGTAGTGGCACTACTGATTATTGCTAATCATTACTGATTAGTTGAAATGTACATTATTGTTCTGCTACTCTGTCTATTGGTATTTTAAACAATGTTAAAAGTAACCAAACTAAACATGCAGTTGTATAGTTATAATTAGCAATGGTGCCTCTTTCAAAATTGTGAATGCCATGATGTCTATTTTAAAACATGAACCAAATTCAATCGTTCGAAAGTTGTTGCATGATGCTCATGTGACCTATAAGGCCCATGGGCCTCTTGTCTTTGTATAGTAGAGGTACTTTGCTGTAATCTGTGCAAAGGCAGGTGCTCATAATAATTTAGGATTCTGGTTAAAGCATTCTGGTTAACACCCACAAACTTGACACTTGTCAGATTTGTATATACTGTATACAGGGTTATTTTCGCCCCGTTTTATTTTCGCCCTTTCACACTTGCAGACAATTTTGCCCCGTTTTAAATTCGCCCTGTCAAAGTCTTATTTAAGTAATTATACTGTATTATATGAATTCGCCCCGTTTTAAATTTGCCCAAATGAGGTTAGGGCAAAAGGGGCGAAAATTAAACGGGGGGCAAAAATTTCCCTGTATACAGTATATACACATATAAATTTTGAGTATGATTATTTTGAATTTATTAGCTGCATTTATTGACATTTCTGTTTCATTTACGTAGGTGTTGCACATGGACAAGAACTTCAGTACATCTTTGGTTTCCCCTTTATAAACCAGACATACACAAACATACTGGGCCTATACCCTCGGCAGCAGTACGACTACGCTGACAGGAATATGAGTGAATACATGATGACCCTGTGGACAAACTTCTCCTCTTATGGGTCAGTAAATCATAGTCAACAAAAAAACAGAGATGAAGCAATTAGATTTCAAATGTGATCAATGTTTGCTTACCAACTTATATAATGTACCTCAAGATTAAGGTCATTATTTGGATAAGTTGATGCAGCCATGCCAAAAGAATGTAGATTAGTGAATGTTTTAAAATCATATGGTTTTAAAGAAATCATCTTTTTTCTTGCAGTGATCCTACCCCCAGGCGATTTAATCTGATTAACTTTAAGAATGTGACCTGGCGAGAGCATAATATATACAACCACAGCTATTTTTACATCAGCAACTCTTCCTACAACTACACAAATTTCAGACAGAAGGACTACGGATTCTGGTCTACATACTTTCCACAGCTGGCCTCGCGCCCTCAAAGTAAGTCTTACGAATGAATTTCTTTATTATTCTGTATCAATTTCTGTATGAAAACCTATATCTTATGCGATACAGAATTTTTATCAATGTGTCCAGAACATGTAAAGGCTTAGTATACAGAGAAAAAAATCTTGATAATTAGACCAACTTGATCATGTAACTACACAGAAAAAGGGATTTGGGTAAATGATTTTCATATTTTATGCGTGAAGTTGATCTACCCATTCAGAATTCTTATTTGTACCTCAAGTGCAGAATACTAGTCTAAAATACTATTTGTGTATTGCAGCTATTGTCACCACAGCCCCATTACAGGACACCAGTGAGAATTTTCAGGTCTCCACCTGGTCTCTAACAGCCTTATCTTCACTGCTAGTCATCATTATCATAGCCCTGTGTATCGTCAACTATAGAAATAGGCCCAAAGACTACTGATTAAGGAGGGACGGGCCCTAGAGGGCCAATTTACCAAAGACATGCTTAAAACCTCAAGGATTAAATTTAGTAAATGATCACTAAAATCTAATATTTCATTCCTTTTACAATTGTTAATATTATTGATTTTATATATACATGTACCTGTACTTTTTTATTTCATTATGCAATGCTCAATGAACATATCAATTTTATGAGGCAATACATGTTTTGACATTATTGTGAGTTCTGTCCACATATCATTTTTAATGGATCATTCCATTTAGTGGTATTAACTTTTTATTTATGTATTGTGATTTTAATGTTATTAATTGATAATATTGATAATAAATGTATATTGTCATTTATCCTTTCTTATATACATGTATTACATTCCTGAATTATTTGGCTGGTTGTGAATGATGCATATTTTTTTTTGTTAAAATGTCATTTTTAATGAATGGTGCAGTTGTGTATTGTTATGTATGGAATGTGTATGAACTTCACCCACTTATTTTTATAGAGTGTATATATATTTTTTTCTACGTTTACAATTGTACAAATATCAAGTGCCATTATTTTCATTAAGTAGCTTGACATTTGCTTTGATATGGTATGTATTTTTGTATGCAAGAGAGATGACAAAAATTATCAATATCTTTGATCTAAATACCAGGTATTCATGAATCATTTTTTGTACAATGAATTATTATAGTTTTGGCACTCAATTTAATAAAGTAAAATGAAATAAATATGCATAAATTCGATTATTATTGATTGATTCTGATTATTAATCATGCTAATAGTTGACCACTTATTCAAGAAGCAAAAAATATTTTGCATCAATGTTATTGTACATGTATTTGGCAAAACCTGTAGGCTGGGGTAAGGGGAGGGGCAGAGCAATGGAATTCAAAATATCTGTCCTTCCTTTGCCCGTAGATGCTTTATACCAAAATTATTTGAAAATAGTTGGGCAATTACAGAGAAGAAGCTAAAAATGATCAAATGTTTACAGATGCCTCACGATGACAGACAAAACAGATTGCAATAGGTCACCTGAGTACAACTCGGCACAAACTTGGAAGTTAAGAAATTAGATGGTCTTCAAGTAGAGACAGTTATACCCTATTTTGCATTGACAACATAAATGTACATTAATATTTAAATTCAAGATGGGAAGGGGACAGGGATAATATATCTTTTAGAGTTTCTAGGCTATTCCTTCAATAGATGGTACCTATTGATATTCAAAGTAACCAGAATATGTACCGTGAAATTCGGAACAACTGCCTTTAAGTGTTCTTTTTCATTTCAAACTGAGCTAAAGATGTGTATCAAATGTGAAGGAAAAATAACAAGACATCTCCGTTTTTTGATATACACCTTGTATTTAATCTAAACAATATAATTTACAATGTAGTGAAGGCTGAGTGTGTATTATCAAACTCGAAGATATTTAGCCGCGATCAACTCTCCATTCACAGTACCTATCCACAGTTGATCCTGGTTGTCTACAGCTGTGGCAATGATGTTTGAAGAAAAACCAGTGCTTATTTCATGCGATTTTTCCAAACTTGGGTTGATGAAGGTGAGTTTTGTGCCTGTTCCTATAATAACATTTCCACGATTGTCTACCGATGCACTTCCTGCATACATGTTCCTGTTGAAAACTTTGTTTAACACAGTCGAGGAAATTCCATCCTTCTCTAGTGCTACCATTTGAGAGTTTTTGACTCGAAGGCCAACTATTTGTCCATTGAGAGAAATTAAGCCCTTTATATTTTCAGAGGGCAGATTGGAATTGTACACATGCTCTACTTCTCCAATCAAATTAAGTCGAAGAACAAAGTGGTTACCATTAGTGGTAGAACTGTTGCATCCAATGACATATATTTTCTCATCTTTACAGAGAATTCCGAACAAGTGCTTAGCATACGATGAAAGATTAGCAAAAATCTTGATGATTCCTTCAGGTGATATTGACGTAATTATAGGCTTAGAACCACCAGCAAAACCCTGCGTCACGAGAAGTTCGCCTGATGGCAAGCAACAATTAAGCACTGGCTAGCAATGGTCTAGACTGAAACATCTGAGAATCTCACCCGAAGAACTGAGCATTTTTACCTGCTTCATTGATAAGTAATTCACCCATATATTGTCACCTGATATACTAATTCCATGAATGCTTCCAAGACTTGATTTGAGATTAAATTTTATGTCAACTTTTGTTAAAAACAAGTCAGAGAAGGCCTTTGGTGCAGATGTGTAAACTTCCGACTCTTTAGAATTTTTGATATTCTTTGTTAATTTTTGACCTTTGGGTAAGCTTTGCTTGTTTGCCTCTACCATCTTCCTTTGGTTCCTCAATTTTCCCACTGTCCCCCTTTTCCCAGCATCTGGATCATTCATCTGTAGTTTTGATTTAAAGTTTTTACCTACTTTTTCCTGGCTATTTTCAGCCTTTTTGTGAGAACTTCGAGCCACTTTCCTTGTCTTTGCCGCCAGAACTCTTGATTTTTTTTTGGATATTTTTCCTTTGCAAATTGACTGATTTTACAGAATTAGTTTCTGAGTTTTCAATACCAAGACTTGCTTGTTTTCCTTTTGATTTGTTCACTTGCTTTTAAGTTTACTCGTTGATGCAGGTCCTTGCATTTCCATACCACCGTTGTTATGGTGAAAATGAATACGTCTCTGTTTGGAGGAGTCACCCTTTGATGAACTTTTATCTGAAAATGTTTTCCCCGATCAATAATACCGGTATATCAAAAGTTATCAAAAATATTTCCAAATAAATCTGATCGAAAATTTCTCTTGAGACTTTATTTACTTGATATTGTATTTAGTTCGCTATGGTTTGGTGAATATACTATTATTGAACGGTAATATTTAACTTTCTTGCAGAGTCTTAATTACCGGGGTAATAGCTAAACTGGTTAAAAATAAAAGATTAAAAAAAATATATATTCCTCTCAAACAACTGACATCCTCAAAGATATTTTCTCCCACAATTTCTTATTATCACTCACCCTTTTGTTCATCCCCACTTTTCCTTTTCCGGCATTTCGAACTCTTTCTAACTTCATTCTCTTCAGCACTTGCTTTAATGGAAGTTCTGACTCGTCTTTGGCGTGTTTCCATTTCTGGTTTGTCTGTAATGCGTAAATATATAATACTCCGTAAAACATAGAAATAAATAGTACTATTCTAGGGTATTGGATTGTAGAATTTTTTTGTAAGAATTATTTTAATTTTTCAAAAATATGAAAAAAATATCAGAGCTTATGAAGCTAATATTATGTTAATGAAAAAACAATAATATCATCCAAATCCGAATTTTGTGTTCAGTTGATTTTTGTGTCATCTTCAAAGGAGGATGCGGTATTGATAGGTAATAATTTCCAGTGCTAACATTTCAATTATAGTCAAATGGTTTGAACATATTTCATTATTAGGGATTGATTATAACAAATAATACTAGTGAGACATGACTGCAATTTGTCGCAAATATATAAAAATTGAAATATAATGTTTTTTTTTCAATTAACACATGTATAATTAATTTTAATCATATTGTACATATTTATAATGGGTCAGGATTGGGCACAAGTTCTAAAAACTTAAATCGCCCTCTCACTACATGAAATAACAGTCAAATGACCCAAAACTATACAGGAATTAGTGATGCAATAAAAACATCTTCAGTATCGTCAATTGACAAACAAACAGCACAGAAGTAAGAAATATGATGTATATTTATTAGTTAAACCAGAGTACACAACATCGTCTTTAAAATCTCGATATGAAAAATAGCTGAAAACTGTTAGAAAAGATCGACCAGAGCCCTGCATACATGTATGTGTGTGTGATATTTCCTTCTTGATATACTAGTATCAATGTAATGATCGAGCAGAAATGTATGATTGGTTTTACTTTGAACTTTTGAACAATATTGTGAACACGATGCATATATAGTCCTTTCATTTAGATTTGACCTTCTCATTTTGCAACAGTTTGGTTCTTCCAAGTCTTGAATTTAAGTAAAATTCCTCTTTTTTTTGCATTCTTGTCTTCTTTTCCTTGTTTTGATCTTCAAATTGGTGAAAGGGATTGTGACTTTTATTAAAAGTTTGTGGTGAGATTTCCATATATTTAGCTATTTATGAAAACGTAAACAAAAGATCTTCATAAGACATGGGTTAATTCTTGTGCATTTGATATTTTAAACAGAGTGTTATTCCAGCTAAATCTCATATTATGAAAAAATAGTGAGTTTTTAATTGAAATATCAGATTATTATAACATCTCTTTGACACCCCCGAGGTGTTTCCGCTGAAATGATCACATCATTTAAGATATTTGGTGGAGTACAGTTTTCCATCGGCAGTACCGAACCACAGCTGGCTTTGCTGGTCTACAGCTGTTGAAATGATGCGTCCAGAAATGCCCGTATCTAGTTTATGCATTCGCTTCAGACTTGGATTGACGATGAAGAGCTGTGCATTTGAACCTAGGATTACATTTCCAAGGTTGTCAGTAGACGCACTTCCTGAGTATGCAGCATTAATATTCACTGTATTCAATGCAACTGAGGAAATCACGTCCTTCTCTAAAGGAATTATTTCAACGCCATGAATGCGAAAGGCAACTATTTGACCATTTAGTAAAACAAGTTGATTTATACTATGGTCTGCCTTCTCTGTATTGTATTCAGATTCAACTTTTCCGTTCATATCCAGTTTAATAATAAAGTACTCCATCCTTGCTTCACAATCTGCGACAACATATATTCGTTCATCTTTATACAAAATTCCAAAGAGATAAGTAGCATAAGAAGAAAGATTGGCTAGAACTTTGGTATCCCCTTCTCTTGATAGTAGAAATATGAGGGGTCTAAAACCACCACCGTAACCCTGTGTGAAAAGAAGGTCTCCTCCAGGCGTACAACAACTGAATACAGGTCTAGCATCCAATTTGAAAGATCTGAGAATCTCTCCCGCCGAGTCTTGAAGATGTACAGTGTTGTACAAATGGTTCACCCAAAGTAGGTTATCATGAGATACACTGATTTCGTGTATCTCTCCCATACAACACACAGGATGATGCTGTACTGAGATTTTCTTAAGAAATAAGTCAGAAAAATATTCATCAGAAGTGTGAGTTGTCGATGTTTCAATATCCTTTGTTTTGTTTATCAACCTGCTTTCCTTTTTCTTAACATTGTCTCTGTTTTTATTTGCTTTTAACTTTTTCATTCTGTCAGCTTGTGTACTCTGGCGTTGTTCTTTTTCCTTCTTTTGATTAGATTTTTTACCAACGAGGCTTTTACCTTGAGGTATAGAGGTCTTTGGCTGCTTATTTTCTCTTGTTTTGCTGGTCTGTTTCGGAAGACGCCCCTTCCTTTCTCGAGTTCCTTTTATCTGCTGCCTCAGTTTGGAATCAGAGTTCTTGTTTGCTCCTTTTTTACTGTTGCCAGCACTTTTAGATGAAGACCTAGTTACTCTCTTAGGTTCCTTTGTCTGCAATACTGATTTATGTGTGGTAATTTCTTCAGATTTGTTCAGTGGTCTTTTCATTTTTTCATCATGCATTTTATTCCGCTTTCTTCTAGGGTTTCCTTTCGCCATAGACTGGTTTCTAGGTCCTCTTACCGATGTTGATGCCTTTCTATTCGTACTATGATCATTCTGTAATTTTCTTTGTTTGTTGTCTTTTGTAGGGGTGTTAACTAAAAGTATGACATTTATCATGTGTTAAAACTATATTCTTTTATATGTAGATATTTTCCTCGTTAAAAATGTTGAAAATGTAAAATTAAATAAAATTTGGGATGTAAAATATAAGAAAATAACAGGCAAGCAGAAACTACAGACCTAGGTCTTCTATGTTTTTTTTTAAAACTCTGATAATTGTAAGCTTAATGTGTCGTCTCAGTAAGGAGTCATTTTGTCGGTATCTTGTCTACCTTACTGCCCATGCATTATGTCTTCATCTTTTCTAACTATCTGCCCATTCATTGGTATGTCTTCATCTTGTCTATCTTGCCCATTCATTATAATGTTTGCATCTTGACTACTTATCTGCCCATTCATTGTAATGTCGGCATCTTGCCTACCTATCTGCCCATTCATTATAATGATGGCATCTTGCCTACCTATCTGCCCATTCATTATAATGTCGGCATCTTGCCTTCCTATCTGCCCATTCATGAAAATGTCGGCATCTTGTCTAACTATCTGCCCATTCATGAAAATGTCGGCATCTTGTCTACTATGCAGAGCTTTTTTTCGTTTTAAACTAATATCATAATGGAATTATTGTTTGCATAAGGATTTTTGGATATTAACTAACTTTCTTAAATTTGCTGCCCTGGAACGTCAAACTATGAGCTTTGAAACTAAATTAAATTACCCAGGAAAGAGGTGGGGAATTCGAATTTTGGAATGAAGAGTTTTACTAGAACGTTTTTTCTCTCTATATATACATGAACAAAAATCTATAAACTTAACTTTGTAACTGCTGACAACATCAATTGCAATTGCAATTTCATTTACCTTTATACGCAATGATGACATTAGCGTTTAAAATAAGATGAATGTTCATTTCCTAAACATGTATATCTACAATTGTCATTTATTGTGTCACACATATGAAATTTTCCCTTCCATTTTTAGGTAAAAATATATCATTATCCCCATGTTAATTAACCAACAATACGTTAGAAGCAATTATCACTTTGTTCTTTCGACTGTAGTTAAGAAAATAAACGAAAAGGGAAAATATAAGTATATAGAATCGAAAATTTAATGACAATAGATATAATTTGGTTTTTACTTACCTTCATTAATTTGTCTATCTTCATATTTCCTCTTCCGGGCTTTGATTGACTTCCGGGGTCCTGTCTCATCGTGCACTACTGCACCCTCTTTGGCACTGGCTTTGCTAGTTGGACGGTTTCTCATTTTTGGTATACCTGAAATCAAAAAATAAGGTAAAAGCTTGAACCCCAGCATATGTGCCATAAAATCATGATAACCTTACTTCTGATATCATTCAGTTCTCACTTTTCTGTTAATCCAAAATTTACAACATTAAAGACGCTTATGTTTATCACAAAAAGTGTTTAATTTAAATGTTGGAAAATATGCTCAAATAAAACAAATTAATGAAGCAAGATGCATGATCGATGCATAGTGTCATATTGCACTATCTTTGTAGTTTGTACGCAATTGTATCTCTTATAATATGTTTTCTGTAGTCCCTTAGGACATAGTACAATTAAATGAAAGTACATGAATTCAGTATCATATCATTTCAGTTTCAATATGCTTATATTTATGTATCAGGTATCATACATGTACATATTCATATATTCATACCTGGCGGAAGTACATTATAATACATTCACTCACAGCGATAAATGCGTGTATATATCGACATTTTATAAATGTTATAGATTTAGATAAAGGCTACACACAAAATATTGCTTACCGTAAATATTTTCACGGTCATATAATCTAAAAACTCGCCTGTACGCCCTCTCTAGGTCTAAAGTTCAACGATTAACAGATTAAGGTTCACCATTGAAGTTGTTTCGAAATAACGACGAACGACAACTCTTGATACATTATAAGTCTCCTCGAAATGAAATAAAACACAAGGAATATGCCTTGCGTGTGCATACTGATGAAAACTAGTCTGAATTATTGTTATATTATTATGATTGAGTCAAATGCTGACTGACGTTTTTTATACGAATTCTTAGGCCATTATTTACACACTGAATTTTCCGTTAACTTTAACATGTTTAATTTTACTTTTAGAGATCTAAATTCTCTTTCTTCACTCCTTACTAAAATATTAACAGCAGGAAAGACTAAAATATTAACAGCAGGAAAGAAGTATTGTACAGCAATATATTGGGGAAGTGGTGTAAATCAGATGTGGAAACTTAAATATTCCGAGAAACTTTTAGTAAATGTGAAATAATGATATATGTCTTTCAACACTTTATACAATTACTCAGTATTCCTCAAGATAAATTAAACATGTTAAAATCCAGGCTATTTTTAAAATCATTGACAGCTACTTCTTCAATAGAAATGGAACTCGTAAATTTATTTACATTGTCATAGGTCATTTGCAACATTATTTTGTTAAAACATCCTAATTGTAGACACAAGTACCCTGAAGTGGGTATCGAAAAAATGTTTTGAATTACTGATTGACAAAACACTTTAAATATACATGTATGTAGTTTGTTTTAGAGACCAGTTCTCCCAACAATCTGTCGGAATTCTCATGGCTCGTTATTAGTCACACTATTTGCCGATCAATTTTTGTATAAACTCAAAGCAGAATTTATTCAAAAAAAATAAGAAGAAAACACTTCAAATCGACATTTAGATCACAGGCACCTGACCTTACTTATTTTTCTTTTAATAAACAAAAACATACCCCCTATCTTATCATTAGACAGGGGTTTAATTTTCTTTAATTTTAAAAGAGCAATAAGTAACGCTAGGTGCCTGTGAGTTAGATATATTGACGACTAGTTACTTTTATTCATATTTCGACTCGATATATCCCAGAGGGCTTGAAATAAAAGATATGACACAGAGTCTGATTCATCTGCTTCATATTTGGATATTTTACTTGAAGAAGACGTGAATGGTAACAAAGCTTTATGATAAACGTGATAACTTCAACTCTCCAATCGTCAACTTACTAGTATATAACAATATACCTTTATCACCTGCATGCATACGGGGTTTATATCCCCTAGTTGATTTGATAGGCGAAAGCAATCCCTTATGTTTATATTAACATTTTCTAAAACAAGACAAGTCATTGAACAACAAGTTGATGTAACAAGGATATCAACCATCCCGTCCAAGGACCTTGTCAGCAATTACAATCTATCATTATGTCAAATGCTAACTGACGTCTTTCAAACTAATTTGTTGGGGCATTATATAAACAATGAATTTTCTGCGTTTTTCTGTTATTCCCGAACATGACAAGGAGCACATGGCGGGTTGACCTGTTGGTAGGGAATGCTTATTTTTCCATGACACCTGATCCCACCTCTGATGTTTTAGAGACCCGTGTTTGCTTTGCTTTTGTTTAAATGGACTTTTGAGCTCCATTACCGCTCGTTATCTAAAAAATTTCACAAATTTAGAAAAAATATGAACTCAGTATTTGAAAATGTATGAACTAAATTGTCCAAGGTTATGGTGTCCTATAGAAGAAAAGAAACCTGTGTTTATAAGGATGTACAAGAAAAATATGTATATTTATAGAAAACAGAAAGATGCAATAATTTATTATCTACATCTACTTCCGTACTTTGACTATTTTTTTTTTGGCGAAATAGATAAATTATACAGTAATGAGGTTTTTGTTATAAATCAACTAAGCTCACTGCTACACAAAAATTCAATTAAGGAAATGTACAGAAAAAATCAATCAATCAGTAAAAGTCGCTGAGATTTTCGAAAAACGAAAGTTTTGATAAGTCAATCTCATTTCCGTGAATTAGTAGTATATATACTTTCTATAAGGTTTTTGGAAATCCTTAGATTGTGGTACGATTTGCATTACTGAGTATCCAGCAAGAGTCAATTTAACTTTACACATGTAAAGTAGTCGAAGACTTGAAATGTATTTTACACTTCATATTAACTAATCACTATGATACAGCAATAGTAGATGAAGATTTTTCTTTTCCATATTTCAGTTTTCCTTGTTGTACGTCAAACTCTTTAATTCAACTTCCTTCCAGTTCTGCGCATCCGTTAAAACATGAACTAAATGCAGTCAGTTATTTAAGGTATTTTGTAGAGTAGAGTTTTCCAGATCTGGTACCGAACCACAGTTGATTTTGTTGATCAGTAGCTGTTGAGATTATTTCCTCAGATGTACCAGTTGGTATTTCGTGCATGTACTCCAGACCTGGATTTATGATGAAGAGGGAGGCGTTTGATCCCATGATAACGTTCCCAAACTTGTCCACTGAGGCACTCGCAGAGTATAAGGTTATGTTAATTTTGTTCATCTTTCTTGGTGAAATGTGATCAACTTCCAAAGGCATAAAACCGTCAGAGTTTGTACGAAGTGCAGCTATTTGACCATTTATAGAAATAATCTGATTTATATTTTCTGACGCTTTTTGTGTGTGATAAACGTGTTCAACTTCTCCGTTCATATTAAGTTTGATAACGAAATAATTCTTATCTAGTGCCATAAAGGCTACAACGTATATTCTTTCATCTTGACATAAAATTCCACAAAGATTTGAAGCATACGAGGAAAGATCGGCTAACTCTTTTACATCTCCCTCTCTTGATATTAAGCTTATTGTAGGCTTAGCACCGGCACCATATCCCTGTGTTACAAGAATGTCACCAGAGGGTGTGCAGCAATTGAATACGGGTCTGAAATCTAATTTAAAACTTCTTATCATCTTCCCTGTTGTATGTCGAAGATGTACTGTATTTATCAAATGGTTCACCCATACTAGATTGTCTTCAGATACACTGATCCCATGTATATTCCCTTCCTTCTCGTGTATTGTATGATGATTTTTTACAGTAATTTTCTTTAAAAACAAGTTTGAAAAGGGTTTTGCAGACGTTACATCTGGTACGGAATTTTGTACTTTCTGAGCGCGCTTTCTGATGCGATTATTTTTCGGCAAAATTTTTTTGTTCGTCTTTGCTTTTGACTTTTTAAAGCTTTCAGCTTTAGCATTCAGGCGACTATTTGGTCTTGATTGTTCTTCCTTCTTTGAAATTGGTTTCCTATTATGGGCCGAACCTCTTACTATTGATTTCGTGGTCTTTTTCTGTGTACTTTGGGTTTTAAATTTCTCAGACAGATTTCTACGTTGAACGTCTCTCTTTTTGTCCCCGTTTTTCTTTAATCCTAACCTCTGTTTAGAATCAGCCTGCTTGTTTACCTTTTCATTTCTATCTTTGTTGTAGTTAATTGAAGACCGAAGCACTCGCTTAGCAATCTTCGTTTTAAATACTACATCAGAACGGGCAGAGTCTTCCGATTTCTTCCCGCGTTTTCTTTTCAATGACTCCTTCACACTGACATCCTGAAGCTGTGCCTCTTTATCCTTTCCTTGACCTACATCTTTAGGATGACGTTTACGTTCTCCAGCTGATAAGGTCACCTTTCTTTCAGTTTTCTGATCACTTTTGCCTGTCTGGACCCGTCTCTTTTTGGCGTTTTGGACTTCTGTCGAATTAACATCTGAAAAAAAGTTTTCTATCACTGTTAAATTTGTAGAGATAAAGAAATTTACAATTCAAAAAAATTCATTGCAAACAAATTAAATATTTTTGTATCTGTTAAAAAATTTCTTTTTTGTATCATTGTATTAATTTTATATGTGTATTTATATGTTTACTTTTGGCAACCTTCTAAATTCTGTTGAATGCTAATTTAATAAAGGATTAATATTTTTGCATGACAAAATGTTAAAAAACAGAGATACAATTAAACTAGCCGCGTAATACGGCATACATGTATAACACTGATCGATCAAGGACTCATCAATTGTGAATACATAGAAAACAAATTGAACTTTGCAAGATCTTTTAATTGAATTTTCAGTCAGTAGGATTTTAAAAATTGGGATATGCTGCATGAATTGTAGCAAACCAATTTACTTAAATCTTATCTAGGTCATTGTGCTCTTTATTGCTTTAAGGGTAACTAATGCAATTCAATATGATGGCAAACTCTAGCCTCGGTATCAGTTATATTGCAAGGATATTTCATATTTATAGACATGTGGCTCTTTAAAATTATATAAAGCCTTTGTCGAACTTTGTAGAAGCCAGAGCGACCATATTGGGAGGGAGTATTGCAGGCTAAATCCTACAAACCAGCCTGTCCACAACATCTGTGGTATGTCAGGGAAACTGTTCCAAACATGGGCAGTGCCAACATCAGCGAAGACTGTCTCTACATGAACATTTTTGCACCAAGTGTAAGCTACATGATTTTATCCAAGTTCTTTCATTTTCAGAATGTTTATATTTTACACAAAATTATGTTCATTATGATTCTTCAACCTTTCCAAATGCTGATGATGTTCACTATATACTCAATTATTTTAATAATATATGTTTTGTATCTATAGAATACAGAAGAAATCCCTAGCAATAGTCCCACACTTTATCCAGTAATGGTCTTTATCCATGGTGGGGGGTACACCATGGGGGCCTCACAGGAGTACCCCGGGGTCTTCCTGGCAGAGAGGGATGTGGTGGTGGTCACATTTAACTACAGACTGGGGCCACTAGGTAAGAGAAATCAAGACTTACTGAGAAAGCTTTCAACTAAAATTAGTTTTATATGGCAAGAGCCCATGGCAGGGTATGGTAACCATTAAATATATTCAAGCAAGACTAGAAGCATTTGCCTGAGTATCGTTGCATTTAACTTCATGTCAGGAAGTGAACTGCAACAGCAATTTACAAAACAATAATAGCACTAGACAAGAGAACCAAACTTGGTTTATTCACCTCTAATTGCTGACAACTTCCAAGTACTACATGTAATTTGTAAGATGCCCAAAAGGGAATAGTTTCTTTTAACTACAAGAAGGCATTTCTAAGTAAGAGACCCAATAGGTGATTAGATTACTTATAATTATTGACTAAAACCTCTTGGTAAGACGTTTTATTCTGTAGATACAAAACCACAGTTAATTCCACAGTAATAAATGTTGGATAACTGAGAATTTCGATACAAAATAAAGTTAAAAAAAAGATTATCATAACTTATTCCGCACTTCTGCTTGCTTCAATTCAATGTTGTTTACAAGTTTCATGCTAAAAATGCAGGACAGTTGACATTGACATGGTTGACATTGACGATAAAAATCAAAGCGATAGATACAACATTTGTTTTTCCGGCACTTACATGTTGGAGTTTTTTCTTTGCTCTACAGTGCAGCTGAGTTGGCTACATTCATGTTTCACAGGAATCTTAATTTTCTTAAAAGAAACACATGATTTTGACTCATTATGTAAATTTTAGTTAGTTAAGAAAAGTGTAACTTGTCCCTTGTATATTCCCAGTATGTTTCTCTTTGTTACATTCACAATATTGACTCATTCTGTAGGGTTTTTGTGTACCAATGATGCCAACTCTCCAGGGAATTACGGAATGTGGGACCAGGTCAGGGCACTGGAGTTTGTAAAAGAAAATATCAGAAGTTTCCGAGGAAATCCCGGGATCATCACCATTTTCGGACAAAATACAGGAGCCTCAAGTGTTGGCTTACAGATTCTCTCCCCAAGGAGTGTCAGTAAGTACATAGAGCAGATTCTAACAACAGTAGTGTAAGAGGGTAATCCAAATATTGCAAAGCACAAGGTTTTACTGTTGATGAGCTACAGTATTTCTATTTCAGTACAGTGTATTCTTTTTATTAATGAAATTATTATATTTACTCTAAATTCAGACCTCTTCCATCGGGCCATCATGCAGAGTGGTTCAGACAGGAGTGAGTGGGCTATTATAAAGACTAATAATGATGCCCAGTATTATGCCCAGGAGCTGGCCCGTGAGCTGGGCTGCCCTACAGGGGACATGTTCAGGTTGACTCAGTGTCTCAGGGAACACAGGTCGTTTGGAGAGATTGTAAATGCCTCGTCCAAAGTCAGACTAAGGGTAGGTTTAATAAAAATCATACATTAAAGTAAAACACTCCTGAAAAGAAAGTGTCAGGGATGGATGATTTTCCTTCGCTATGAGCATAATTTGTTATATCCATGAAGATCACAATATATTTTAAAGCCTTTGGGAATGAAAATTTCTTTTCTGTAAGCGTCAATTCATTATAACTATGTTTGTCGCATTTTTTTCTTTATTCAAAAAGATACTACATTCAGTAAAACATTCAAAATAATTTTATTCAAATATTTGTTCTACAGTTTTCCTTAACTAACTCTTGATGCACATAATGTTTTAATTTTAATGTACAAATTGCAAATTTTTCAAATACTAAGAAAAAAAATATCTAAAATTTTGTTAAGTAAAGTTTCTGTTTCCTCCACTCTTTCAGCCTGGCTCTGTGGGGAACCCCTGGGGTCCATTAGTGGATGGATCATTGGTGGGGACAGTCGCTGCATTTCTACCAGACCATCCCAAACAAATGAGAGAACTCTACAACTTCAAACCTATTGTAGTGATGGGAGGCCTCAACAAAGACGATGGGTCCTTCTTCATTCGTGAGTATTTTATTATTAGTGAAAAATAAACCAGAGTCTGTAAGCATTTTATAAAAAAAAAAATAAACAAGATGAGATTTTTTGAAAATGTTGAGATTATTTTATCTAAAGTGTGCTGAAATATACTCATGAATGGCTTAATTTTTAGCTCTACTGGTCAGAGACCAGAAGAGCTTATGCGATAGTAATGCGTCCGGCGTCCGTCCGTCTGTCTGTCTGTCCGTCTGTCTGTAAACAATTTTTCAAAACGCTACTCCTCCTACAATTTTAATCTGATTTCAATATTACTTGGCACACAAGTAGACTACACTAAGATACATAGAATAGTGCATTGGTTTTTAATTTCGATGAACGGTGTTGCCATGGTTACTAAAAATAGAATTTTCTGTGAAATTTTAATTTCCTTCTACAGTTTTGGTCTGATTTCAATATAACTTGGCACACAAGTAGACTACACTAAGATACACAGAATAGTGCATCGGTTTTTGATTTCGAAACGGTGTTGCCATGGTTACTAAAAATAGAATTTTCTGTGAAATTCCTTTAAAACGCTACTCCTTCTACAGTTTTAGTCTGATTTCAATATAACTTGGCACACAAGCAGACTACACTAAGATACATAGAATAGTGCATCGGTTTTTGATTTCGATGAACGGTGTTGCCATGGTTACTAAAAATAGAATTTTCTGTGAAATTCCTTTAGAACGCTACTCCTTCTACAGTTTTAGTCTGATTTCAATATAACTTGGCACACAGGTAGACTACACAAAGATACATAAAATAGTGCAATGGTTTTTGATAAGTACAAACCAGTAGAGCTACAGTCTCGACAGAGACTTCTGGTTTTTTTTCCATATTACATTGTTATTATTCAATGTATGGTTTACTATGTAAAAAATAAATTTAATTTTTTTGGTAAATCTGTACAGCTAATTTGCCAACCCTAGATGAAGGCATACAGAAGATTCAGTTTGACAATATAATTAATGAGTTTCTAAGTGATAGAGGAGTAAGAGATAGTGTTACGAGAGACGCCCTGATTTACCAGTATACTTACTGGCCACAGCCCAAGAATCAGACCATGATCCTCCACAAAACCATCGACGTAAGTATATAAATTAAGTTTATAAATCTTGAGGAATCCTATCCTCGCTTACTAATATGGCTGATTAAATAAGATACCGATGATGTATTTATTTAAAAGGGCTGGTTTGATTTTTATAACACGTAACATTCAAGCCTTTACTGTGCGAGGAGTACAGGTACTTCTAATTAATACAGATATAAACTTTTTATTCTTGATAGAATCAATGAATTTTATAATTGTTTTGTAACTTGTAAGAAAAGGTGCTTGCAAAAGTTCAAACATCAAATGTATAAGCTTTAGAGAGAGGGAGAGTCTGTTGAAATAGAATACTACATGTAGTATAAGAGTTTTTAATTTGTCTAATCCTGTCTTTTAGAGATTTAACATTTTTTTATTTTTGTCTTAGATGATGTCTGACTACATGTTTGGTACAGGAATGAATGAGGCTTTGAGATTTCAAACAGCAAAGAACAAGACATTTTTCTATGTCTTCAACTATTTTTCTTGGAATGACTATCTTCCATATTATAGAGGCATGTATTCTGTAAATTTTTTTCTGCAAGGTGTTTTTCTTTGGTAAAGTCTCAATAGCAAAAATTTTACTGCAATATACATTAAATATAGGTCTACAAACTCTTATGCCAGGCCCCTCCATAAGCAGAGAGTCTGAATTGTACTCTTCCTTGTATATTACAGGTTCCTTGCTGTAACCTGTGTAAAGGCAGGTGCTCATAATAATTTAGCATTCTGGTTAAAGCATTCTGGTTAACACCCACAAACTTGACACTTTTCAGATTGGTATATAGGGGAGATCTGTCCAATTCTGGACACTTTTGTCCTGTTTTAATATGTATCACCCAGCAAACGAAAATAAACACTCAACACACTATGATTTCAAGTGGTAAAGTATGGAAACACTTTTTGGCAACAAAATGCAATGAAAATTCTCATGAAACACAGTGAAATATCTTTTATGTATAACAAAATGAATTCAGATGGTGAAATAGTGCAAGTCCGGACAACATGGGGTAATTCCAGACAGAGGCGGGGTAAATCCGGACAGGAGAGCTATATGTGCTTTGAACAATTTTTTTTTGTGAGAAAATGCATTCCAACAACTTGCCACTTCGTTAAACAAAGCATGCTTAAGTTTTACATTACTTAGCATGTATATTGCACATTTTTACAGGAGAGA